TTGTCCACATGGGGCTTCATCAGGGCAGAGCTTGATGAAGCCAAAGTTCTGACATGTTCTAAGTCCCATGCCAATACATACATACTGGATAAGACAAGAAAGTATGTCTCTCTTTGAAAATTTGTGGCACCTCTGAAATAATAGTGAAGACAGTAGTTTTTTTCATACACACATCTATGCATCCTTTGAGCATCCAAAGATTACTGCCTGTTCATCTCTAGCCATTTTACCATGAGTGATTTTGCAAAAGCAACTGGAATTTTATTTTTTGCACTCACACCAGGACACTAATGGCAGGACCTGCCCCACTGACTTGGAATGACAATTCTTTCCAAGGGTTTTTTCATTCAGAATCTGCTGAGCTTTCTAAATCCTCATACTCATACTTATGTCTGGTGATTTGTAGGAGGGAACTTTCAATCCATGGATTGTCAGCTTGAGGAACAATGACTTCTTCCACATGAGCAGTTTTCTTCCTCTTTCAGTTTTAGTCTTCCACCCTCTCTTCCTCTCAAATGAACAAGTTTCTTGCAGCTTGAGTCAGTCTCTTAAAAATAGGCCTGCATTTATTTCATCCCTTACTAGAAAATTCTTGCAGAATTCTTTCATTGCCTCATCTTTTCAAAGAGCAGCATTTTTATGGGCTGAGGGGAACTCTTGCCCCAGGTTGGTACACTGCATGTACCATAAGGCTTGTTTTGACTAGAAGAGATTCCTGGGAATTTCTCAGGAAAATAGAAAGATGGGCCAAGTCTAAACACTCTTCTTCACCTCGGGCATTTCAGCCTGGGTCGGCCCAGGCCTGGGAAATTCCTGGGCCTGACTTGGGCTTTGACCTAGTCAAAACACTTGGCCCAGGCCCAAGAGAGTGTGTCTCTTCCACCCAACTTCTACCCTCCAACTAGTCCTGTGAGTGTGTGAGTCATGTCCTCGTATACTCTCTGAGAAGACCATGAAACTGAAGCTTTATTGAAACTATTCAAGGTGCGTAATTTTCAATCAATATTAGATGGGACAGCGAGAAACAACAAGGCTTATTGCCTGCTATCAGCAGAATTGAACAAATTAAGTTTTCTGCAACTTAAAAAGCATATACAGGACAAAGTGGAAAAACTAAAAGGTCATTATTTACCTGTATCTTATTTTTTGCATGTGTTTCTTGAAAAATAATAATAATAGAAATAGTAAATTATCCCGAAGAAGAGAATTCATAGTGTTTCCATGTACTGTCATAGAAATAGCATGCTATCAAACCAATATGCAAAAATCAGAGCAAGGATATCCAGTGAAACAGCCATCCTAAGAAACTGATACGAGGTGTGAAAAGGGTCTTTCACTCCCTCAGGGCATATTCCCAGGCCTTAAAAATGCTGTTGGGCCAGAAGGGTCAGACATCTAATGAGACAGCTAATGAAAAATGACATTTCCCAGGAAAACCTAGGTCCGGGAATTTCTTCTAGTCAAAACAAGGCTATATACTCCCCCCACCAATACATTTCCTTGTGCAAAAATAAAATTCAAGTTGCCTCTACATCATCACTCATGCTAAAATAGCTGGAGAAAAATGAACAAGAACTTTAGGATGCTTAAAGGATATGTAGAAGTTGTTAAAAAAAAAAAATACTTCTGTGTAATCTGCTATCTCATGAACTCCAAAGAATCTCAAAGAGCTGCATGTTTTTGTTTTTTTTTGCCTCACCCAGTATACGTTGTCACTGACATGCAACAAAAACCTATTCGTGTACATGTACAGGGCCAGATCAAGTATAACAAACCAAACTATAATTTTTTTAATTAGAAATAGCACATTTTATTGGCTTGAAATTTGCACAGCATGTTCCTGACATAATGGACCAGACATGATGTAAGTTTCACTAAAAGTGAACCACTCCTCCTTGGTCAAGAACCCTGCTGGGATGGTGTTCCGCACCCAGAAGCCAGCCTCTGTTATGGTGTGGGCCCCCATCACCAACAAGGGCAAGTCTCCTCTCATCTTCGTCCCTGAGGGCATCAAAATCAACAAGAACGTCTATATAAAATCCATCCTGCAGGATGTGCTGCTCCCCTGGGCTCAAGATCTGTTCAGGTATGAGCCTTGGACATTCCAGCAGGACAGAGCAACATCTCATTTGGCTAATGTGACCCAGGACCAGTGTTGGAAGAATTTGCCAGGGTTCTTGACTAAGGAAGAGTGGCCCCCATTGTCTCCAGATCTGAACCCTCTGGACTATGCCATGTGGTTGATCCTCAAGTCCAAGGCATGTTCAAAGCCCCACCACAGTCTGGACCATCTCAAACAAGATTTGGTTCTTTTTTTTTTAAAACGAAATTCCAATGGAAGTGGTGATGAACAGTGTCTACAACTTTGAGAAGAGGTTGAAGGCCATAATAAAGCACAAAGGTGGCCACTTTGAGTGAAACTTACATCATGTCTGGTCCATTATGTCATGAGCATGCTGTGCAAATTTTGAGTTGATAAAACATACTATTTTTATTATTATTACAGATTGATTTGTTGCACTTTATCTGGCCCACCCTGTACTTTCACTCATACACATATACATTACTATGTTTACTTTACACGAAGTAAAGAATTGTGTTCGCAGCAATAAACTGCATTTATTATTATTACAGATTGATTTGTTGCACTTTATCTGGCCCACCCTGTACTTTCACTCATACACATATACATTACTATGTTTACTTTACACGAAGTAAAGAATTGTGTTCGCAGCAATAAACTGCATTTATTTTAGCGAATTTTTTCAGGAAGTGGCAAAAATGGCTGGGCACACAGTGTGGTAGAAGCCATTCAAGTGTCTGGGACTCAAAGTTTTAAGTGCTGAGACAAAACCAAAACAAAGAAAAAAAAAAACCTTTCAGAATTGTGCTACTTGATATGTTTATGTTGGGTATTGAGTAGATGTTGAAAGGGAATAGAGATTGTCCATTGACTCCAAGGACCCAGGGCAGTGGAAAGGCAATAGTTATATTGAGAAGCAAAATCCTCACTCTTTTGTACTGTAATTATTGCTCCCATCCTAGCTCCATGTTAGCTTCTCTACATGCTTTAACCTTTTTTTTGGATGTGTTCTTTATTCTGAATGTCTTCTCCATCATTGTGCCTTTCTGACTGATGGGAGCTCATGAGAACAGAATGTATAGGGTGTTCAAGAAGAAATGCAACCCATTGGAGAATGCATGTATCATTGTAACCCATTGCTTTTCTTTCTGTTTCAGTGATCATGAAGTACAAGAATGGTGTTCATGGTTCATGAAAGAATATTCATTGTTGAATGTTATTTACTAATTTATTATGCATTCTCCAATGGGTTGCATTTCTTTTTGAACACACTGTATTATATTAATTGCCAAAAAAAAAGCATGACCAAGGATTTGAGAGATCTTGAAAATTAAAACACAAGCTTTTACTAGCATACCATGAAAGCAATTAAATTTTCAAGTGTGTGGGTTGAATATTCACAGAAGACTTGCCAAACAATCTGATTTCAGTTGTGGCAATGGGATCATACTGATCACCTGAAATGGTCACCTAGAGCAGCAGTTCCCAGACTTCTTTGAATCACAACCCACTTACTGATGTTAAAAAAATTTCATGACCCACCACAATCTAGAACGGGATCCAGAATCGACCTTTTCTGCAGGGCATGTTTTATCCTTAGCGAATGTGGATATAGTGATTTTTTTACTATGGAAAATGTTTGCGACCCACTTTGATGCCTCTCGCAACCCACAGTTTGGGAACCGCTGACCTAGAGGGTTTTTACTGATGGAAAGTGACAGGAAAACTCCTAAAGATGTTCCTTTTCTCTTTCCCTAAAGCCACTCCAGTTTTGGGCCATTGATGAGAGTTTGACTGCAAGGCAGTGCTAAGATTAAATCTCTGGAGGCGATTTCAATAAGTTTTTAGGGTGTTTGATCCATGGAGGGTAATAGGAGTGCTTACTATACATAAATTTGGTACATGCATCCCAATTAGTCTTTGTCGAAGAAAAACTCCAACAACTTGTTGAAATTCTCTCCTTAGGTCTCTTCTTGGTATTGCCTTGCAGATATTCTATTGGTAGGACTTCAACATGTCAGATTTATCTGAGATGGAAAAATATTGGGTCACTTTTCCATGTAAACCCTTTTTTGTCTCTATGCAGTTTTCAACAATGTACCCCTTATTCATGGCCAGCTGGAAATGTTGCCTTGGTGGTATGTAAAAACCACTGGATGATGATGCTATTCAATGCAGGTTTTCACCTGTAATGAATCTTCATTACAGGTCAAAATTTGCAAAATCTACAAATATATAGATAGTGCCATTTGTTCAACTTATATCATCTGAAATATAAAGAAAATACACTGCCTATGGTTCCAGACTTAAGGGACACCATGTACATTGTTGGAAATTAGGTGCAGTCAGAGGAACCTGTTCAGAAAAGTGACCCAATGTTCATCTATCTCAAATATACATTTATGACCCACTGATGGATGCTCCTTGACGACACCTTGTATGTCAATTTTTGGTGCTAGGCCTAAAAAAATTCATTTTTTAAATGGAGGATAGCCTTAGTCTTGCTTCTCATTCATCAAGAGCAAGAAGCTGGAAGATGCAGAGGTGTTTCATTAGTTATGTGTTCTTTTTCTCATTTTAAGATCAGATCAATTCTAATGCTGTCTGACTGGTGACTATCACAAACAAGAGGTTTATTTCTCTATTTTGCTGTTAGCTTTGCTTCTAAAATAAAAAGAGTTCTTCTTTTTGTATAAGTTTTGATTCTGCTTTATCTTTTATTTCTAGAGGATGTTCCTTTTAGAAAAAAATAACTCAGTCCAGGGATGTTATTTTACAATTTAAAAATAACATCCTGCTGGAATCCTTATATGCACATGATTCATTTTCATTTTTCATTTAGTCCTTCCAAAGAAAGAACTGTGAAAGGTACAGTTTAAAATATACACTTTCCAGGTGCAGGTGAGAGAAAAGAGGGATGGTTTCCATAACAGAAGAAACCAAGTGCTTGCTGAGGTCAGTTCTCGCTCCCGAGAAGCATGGCCTCATGCTGTGGGAAATGGAACGTGTCTATCGAGCACTCACAGGAGAAAATGGCATACCCTATCGCAGTTATGGCTTCAGAACTCTCCAAGAATTTTTGGCTGCTATTCCTGATGTTTGTCTGCTAAAAACTGACATCGGTGGCCTTCGTGTGTTGGCAGTGAGTGATGAGAAAACAGAGCATATCTTGCGAATGGTGTCAGCTCAGAAGTCTTCAAGGGGTGCAAAGCCTAAGTTTGGGCTGTCTCGAAGTTACTCAAGTTACTCGAGATCATTGTCTTTCCCCTCACCTGTGAAGGCATTCTCAACTAGTCCAAGTAGATGGCATCAAATGCCTAATCACTGGACTCCTCTGAGGCCTCCCAACTTCCCCCCTCGACTGCAAAAGATAAATGACTCTGGAAGTACAAATTTGGAGAATGGCTTTCATGAGAGTACCATTGAGACAGTTACTGTGGACAGACCCGAACCTTTGACCAATGGGCTTCCAGATGCACAGGAGAATCCAAGTAACAAGACAGGTGCTGACTTTGAAAAGTTATGTCAATTGATACTAGATGTGCTTCCTCCTGAAGGGCTTCCTCTCAAGAACATTTCCCAAGCTTTTGCTCTCAAACATGGTTTTTACATCAGTCCCTCCCAGTACGGATACAATTCCATGGTGTCACTTATGAGTGATGTTCCTGATGTGACCATCACCCCATCTGAAGAAGGGTTGTATATATGCTCAAAATTCCATTCTCAAGGTAGGTATCACTTTGTTTGCCAGGAGGACATTTCAATGGCTGGGTCCTTATCATCATACTACTCCTTGGTTCATCTGAAGATGAGAAAAGTGTGCTGACATTATTTGCATTGTTAACCTCAGAGGACTGTTTCTTTGGGATCTTCTCATAGTATATACTTTACTGTTGAATGAACCCCTTTTCCATCACAGATTGGGGAGAGGGGTGGAATAGATAGAAAAGCACTTCAAGTTGTATGTTTTCCATGTCGAAAATTTGTGCCATTCATAATTCTTGTCCACTTCATAGATTTAAAAGCAAGTGGAACATAGTCCAGTCCAGTTATACACTCCTTTGGATGCACTCAAAATGGAGTTGACCTCTATTCATAAAACATGGCAATACTCATGGTCATATGTTACAAAATAGCTTGAGTTTTCAAGGTTGTGAAATCATTATCTGTGGAGGAAATTGTGTGAAGTAATTTTGTTCATTCATGCCTGTTTACTTTTGCACTATTGGGAGTATTCAACTGTGAAGCAATGTTGAGGCAACATTTTCTGATGCCGTTTTTCCAACTTGATCTGTTTTGACAAAGTCATTTAGAAGCCCTACATTGCAACCACTCCATTACTAGGGTTCAATCCTATAATCACCCCTTAGCCTGTATACCCTCCACATACAGCAGTTTGTGCTTATTTGAATGGCTTCAGTCATGCTGGTTGGATTGCCAGAGCTGCCATTGGCAATGTTGCCTTGGCATTGCTCATTGAGAGTGCAAATGTCAATTATTTTGAGTGAAGACAGGCTGATAGAAGGAAGATGAGGGAAGTAAAGCCATTTTCAAAGCATATCAACTGTTTTGCAGGATTGCCTTCAAACCCTCATGGATCTACAGCCCATGCTGATTTGTCCGACAGTCATCCAGAGACAGGTGTGTGTGAAGAGGAAGATGAAATAGATGCAGCTTTCAAGATCCATCTAACTCTGGGCAATACAAGTTCTGACTTCTCTATTGATGCGGCTGAAGAAAGAACTTCGCCTCATGGAGCTTCCAGTAATTATTTACCATTGGATGGAGTCCAAGTGTCATCTCATGATCATGGGAACATAGTCAATGTCTCTGTAAGCATGACCTCATTCTGTCCCATATGAACATTCATCCTAATTCAGAAGTGTGTATTAGGTATTGAACTGAATTTCCTGCATGGTAAAACTATCCATGTTACTCTTAAGAAAGTTGAACATTCTCAGAAAGTTGCCCAGCAAGTTTTCCATAGTGTGAGACCTGAATATGCTGAGAAAGCTGGGAATTTTGCAAAATTTGGCAGATATTAATGGTTTTCATAGAAAGTCCAAGGGAAAAATCAAGACTTGGTGAACTTAATCATATATACGAGGTGCAGTCAGAAAGTCCATACCCCACACTTCTAGCATACGTTTTTGGAATTGGTTGGAATAGATTATGGTTGGACAAGGTATTATGATCAGTTGTGAGTCAGACAGCATGTTGTGAACATTGTTGGCATTCTTGTTTGTGTGCAGCATTGGTTTTTTGACACAGAGTTTCCCCCACTTTCCCTGAGCAATGGAGTTCGCGGAGGAAGAACTGTCCAAATGTGTGTGATCCATCAGGCCTCTTCCAATGAGAAAGTTCTTTATGCTATTTTTCTGGACAAACAGGGTTTAGTTCTACCTCATGTAGTTCCTAAAGGTGCAACCAATAATGGAAGCTACTACAAACATGTCTTACTAGCTGAGCTTTTACCAGCAGTAAAAAAAATTGCATCCATTGAAGGCCAATGACTGGTTCATTCTTCACCTGGACAATGCACCAACTCACTGGACCTGGCACCCAATGACTTTTGGGTGTCCTCAGAACTCAAGGATTCGTTACAGAGTAAAATGTATGACTCCCGACAAGCCTGTGGTACTGCAGTTTACCAATGGTTTAAACATACACCTGAGGAAGCATTTGCCAAGTTCTTCAGTGACTGGCAACGAAGGTGGAAACTGTGTGTAGGTAAAGCAGTTTCTCTTCAGAACTCCTGACTGTAAATGAGATATGGCTCGACAGTATGGACTTTCTGACTGCACCTCGTATATATACAGGGTCTTTCAAAATTAGGTTGCAATTTTGAACAATTATATCTCTGAAATGAATAGAGCTGTGAATATGAAACAAAGTACATTTTATTACTAAAGACCTGAAATTTTTTCCCATTACATTTTTCACAAATGTTCTATGTGGTGTCCTTGTGTAATGCAGACAATGTCCCATCTGTACAAGAGTTCCTCCCCCACACAAGTAAGCATGTCAGTGTTAACTGTGGCAACAGCTGCAACAATCCTTGCTTGAAGTTCATCAACATTTAGTGGTAGGGGGGGGCTGGTACACTTGATCCTTGATGTAGCCCCACAGGAAAAAGTCTGGTGGGGTCAAATCGCTGACATGCTTACTCGTGTGTGGGAGGAGCTCTTGTAGAGATGGGACATTGTTCATGTTACGCAAGGACACCACATAGAACATTTGTGGAAAATGTAATGGGAAAAATTTTCAGGTCTATAGTAATAAAATGCACTTTCTTTCATATTCACAGCTCTTTTCATTTCTGAGATATAAATGTTCAAAATTGCAACCTAGTTTAGAAAGACCCTGTATATATAAGTCACTTCAGAAGAACTCGAATTGAATTGTTAGACATGGTGTTAGGATGCTGACATAGCTTTGTTTCCCCTTGCTTTTTTCTCGTGGCAGGACACAGAAGCACTCCCACCTGGAGATACTGCAGTCATGGGAGATGTTCTCTACGTTCAGTCTTTCATGACCGAATTCAAGTGTGGAGATGTTATAGATATTGTAATCATTGATGTCTTATCTCCTGGTTTTTTCCACTTCAGACTTGGAAGAGATGAACAGCTCCTGAAACAAATTGAAGATGACCTCAGGCAAGGAGTACTTTCCTTTTCATTTCAGATCACCTAAATCCAGGAATGAAGTATGTTATTTTATTGGCACTGCTAACTTTTCAGAGGACCCTTTCATGTTTTTACCTGGACCTTTAAGGACAAATGGATGGCCTGATGTTACTCCTGTACATTGTTTTCAGACATGTACTTCTGGGACCATAAAAAATCTTGAATTATGAACAAGTGCCTCTGTAGCAACATGCCTTTCAGTCATCAGAATTGAATAATTTTAGCAAAATTGAGGCTATTTGGAAAATCTCCTCTATCCCTGTAAAATTCTTCACTTCTCATTACATATTGAGAACTTCTTGAATATTCATATGTAAGTGTGGATAGCAATTTATTAAGTTCCAAAATGAAGCAACAAGGCAATTGATAATCTCAAACCTGATGCCATTTACTGAGAAAGTCAGGTAATTCTTCTTTGCCCTCTAGCTAATAGTATTCATTTCTTGTCATTAGCCATAGTGATGTACTGTTATTGTTATTGATAGAGGTAATTTTTTCTCAGGTGGATGTATGAAGGCTGTTCGTATTATGAGGCTATAAATGCCTCAACCCTGAAACCAGGACTGCTTGTGGGTGCCTTGTGTCCCTACTCTCTCACATGGAGGAGGGCAGAAATTGTAGAAGTTTATGGTGATGGTGTGGAGGTAAATATATTAACATAATATTATGATTATCACATGACTTAAAAGGGATTTATTCAAAGTTAAAAAAAAAGGAAGAAAAAATAAAATAAAATGGCTTTTTTTTTGCATTGTCACTCTTCATGGCACAGGTAATATTCAAGGACTATGGAGTTCATTCCTGTGTGGGATTAGATGCCTTGAGATGGCTTCCCAAGGAATCCTTGACATGGCCTGCTTTGGTGCTGGAAGGAAGCCTAGCTGGAGTGTCTCCCAAGTCTGGTGGGAATGACTGGGGTTTGACCACTAATGAAAGATTCCTATCACTAGTACAAGAAGAAAGTATTTGGTCTGGACAAATTACTGATGTTCAGGTAGGATTTTGCAAATTTACTAGACTTGCTCTTACAAGATACCTATCAGCTAAACTAGTTGGTAACTAGTTTAACTTATAGGTCTCTTGTATGCCACATTGACTGCAGCTATAGAAGTTGGAGACTTGTTGATCATTCTACTTTTTCTTGTCTTGTTTTACAGGTTGTACTTCACAACTGTCTCCAGAATCCAGATTCATGGCAAGCTAAGGTGAGTCATGGTAAATCTCTGAGGAAATCGATTCTCTTGCAAGAGATACCTGGTACCATTTCTAGGAAAAAGATTACTTGCATGTGATGGTCCCAAAATGTACTCTCTAATACCGCTGTCCACCAGATGTCCATGCTGTCATCATGTCACTACTACTTAATGGAGTAACATGGTGACAGCATTGTAGACAATGCCTAACCCCCTGATGTCAATCATTTTCAGATTGTTTAAACACTTTGCATGTACTGACTATGAATGAAAAATGCTTTACCCAGCCGAGGCATGAACTGTTTGGGGGAAATTTGGGTATTGATTCACCATCGATATCACTATCAATTTTTTATGTTTAATTGATTGATTTAAAATATATATAATTGAATTAGTGGCCCTACTTTTTTTTTTGTCAGGTCTCCTGACATGAAAGAGGTTGAGGCTTGTTTCTTGCCATCATGCAGCTATTCCTACATCATTACTTTGCTTGCAACCAAGTGTTTAAATTCTTTCCAAGTGGTGGCTTCACAGTCGCTTGTCACTACTCACTCCTTTATATGTCCTTTGGTTTTCTAGAAGTGCCAAGTAGAGCTACTGATATCCTGTGCAAGAAATGGGAAAACTTTCTGCATACAGGAAGAACTTGTGAAGGAAGACCTTGTGAATGACTATTTGGATTCCGTACTTGTAAGTTCTATATTCTACTTTTTGGCTCTTGCAGATATTCTAATTCTTAGTCATCCTTGATAAGAATGAAATGAAATAAGTTTTACTAGCCAAGTAAAAAGAAACATCAGTTACCACTATACTGCTGGTGTTATCCCCTTCTACCATGTCACATCCATCTGACTCTTTTGAAAAAATATATGTCATATGCACATTGTAGGCCTTTGTGTTTAGCCTTGGAAAAGTCTAGAAAGTCCTAGTTGATTTACATGCATGCATCACCTGGAGACAGGAGGAGAGTACATGTAGGATGCCAGACATAGTATTTCATAAGTTTGGCAGACCACCCTGTCTATGCTGCCATGAACAGCTGCTCTTTCCATACATTGTGTATTAACCTGTCAGCTGCAAGTGCTGGAAAGAAACTAATAGTTTTAGTGAATGACTGACACCCCAACCCAGGCTGATGGCTGCACTTATGTTGAGTCTTGGGCAACAGTAGGTTGCTGTGTCAGCTGCAGACAGATGAAATGAATGTAGAAAAAAAAGAAAGAATATATAACAAACCAATCACAGTATATTAACATTTTCCCTAAGGCCACTTTAAGAATGGCAGACAAAGTCACAGTCCTAATTACCCTAGAGCCAGGGTTCCCAAACCCTGGATCATGAGAGTTTTCTGATGGGTCATGGAAGGCCCTTGACCTTGAGTGGAAGAAATGAAACTGATATGTTTATTCATTTATTTTTCTTGAAAGTCGAGTGGGGCAGTTACCCTGTGGGTTTTGGGTCATGAGGTGAATGAGAATTTGAATTTTGGGTCACAACCAAAAAAGTTTGGGAACCGCTGCCCTAGAGCATTATGTGCTTTTTGTATGAAGTTTATTTATCTGCTACTGGTTTACAAGGTCTCTAATCTCTTCTTCCTCCCCTGTTAGCTGCCTGAATTGATGGGTGAAAGTCCAGAGTCATTCCTGAGTGACATTGACAAGGAACTAGAGCAGAATGATCAGCTGTCTCCAGATCAGTGGTGAAATGGTGACTCCTTTCCATTCTTAGTCAGTGATACCTGGTTCCAAACTAGCTCATACCCAAACTGGCTCACACCTACACAAATTTTGTTGTGGTCTTCCTTGTGAGCTTCTGATTCTTCTGACAAGATTCTGATTGTTACCTTAGGACTCCTCCATTGAGGGCTTCTGATTTTTTGAGTTGCCTTGTTTAGAGTCAAGAATTTCAGCACCTTTTGTATTTTATTAGAAGTTAGGTCGATTGTGGACTGTCAGTGTTGGTGTTGTGGTTCTCCTGCTTTGTGGCTCATTTGATATCTTACCTGTTCCAGTCATAGGATGGAAATGAGATGCGACTCTCCTTGTATAAGGTAATAGGCAATATCTAACTGGGCACTCATGCTGAAAGACCAATGTAGAGTGTGATAGAAAATGGCATCTCATCAGAGAGTTGTGGCCATCATGGAACAAGTAGGCCCTCTTTGATTTTTTAAAATTATTATTGCTTATCCCCATGCCAATAATTCCCTTTAACCTGCAAAGGGTGGATCAAAAATAATTTTGTCCTCTCCTCTTCAATTTCATGCCACAATTTCAGTGGCTGATGCTGAGAGTTTCATTTAGTTCTGTAAAATCTGTAACTTTATTTTTCTTTGGTTAACATATCCACTTGGAAGTGGTTAAGGAAACAAGTACCATCTACTTCACAGGGGAATTTCCTTCACTGAAGTAATATCATAACATCATAGGGTTAGGTCAAGCCTAAGTGGGTTGATAGGTCATATGTATTTTCTACTCTCACTCAGCTCAAATTATTTCCTTGATTAGGAGCAGTCTCATGGAAGTCAACTGGGAATGAATATCAAATCATGTTCATTCTGGCCTTGTTGTGGCACAAAAGAATAGAATGGTAAATATTGTTACTTTCAGAGGCCAAGGACTTTGAAGGATACAATTTTTGTGAAACCATGATATGCACAGAAGCAGCATCAAAGCATCATCAAAGCATTGTGAATTTTTATACTTTTTTAAAACAAAAGTTAATCCACATCAATGTATGCTGTATCCTGTCAATTTTTTTGTGAGTTGAATTGGTAATATTCCCCTCAAACTGATTAGTGATGTTTACAATGCTTTTGTCCCACTATGACCCATCAGGAAAAGGCCAGGTAGTGGAAGCAGGAAGGATTGTATGTACTCTGAGAAATTCTTAAACAGTAAAGTGACACATGAATTTCTACTAGTTCCCAAAATTATGAACTTTGCAGAGAGTATGACATGACTTTCAGATGAGGCCTTATACAGAAAGAAAATATTATTCTGATGCTTCCTCCTCAGCAAAGATTACAGAATCTCTAGTGATGAAGCTTGCGCTCTTCCAATGTCGAGAAGCAGGCCTCTTTGGGACAATGGAGCAGAGGAGGAGATGTGACAACAGTTGCCACATTCTTTGTCTAAACTTTGGGAAACAAAGAAATGTTTGCCTTGGTAACATAGATTCTTGCCCAGATGTTTGCATAAAGTGATCCAATAGAGTGAGCCACGCAGTGGAAAAGGCACGCAGTCCAGAAACGCCTTTCCAAAATGCATGGGATTGTGAGAAAAAGGAAAAAGCCTCATTTTGCCACCTGTGAGAAACCACAAGAGAGGCCTGCCTCCTCTGATGACTTTGATACTGTTTGAATCTGTGAATTTGTGCATCATGCATTCACGAGAGAAACTGCTCGAGTCAACTTGAACGGTTTTCCACAAACCAAAGAAGGTGCCCTGCAAACTGCACCTTGCGGCATGTGCCTGAGACTCGAGAGTGCCTCCTTTGGTGTCGACCAGTTCTTGACCCTTTTGTGTGCCTTCCCCATAGCTAGTCATGATGTTGCAAGTCATTTTGCAGGAAATTTGAGCAGTGCATTGATTGTCCGCATTCTCCAAGGAAGGAAAGTAAATTCACCTAGAGGAAAGGAACTACTTATTCTCAAAACAGAATTAGATGTATATTCATATCTTACAATATGTGATGAAGTAGCAGAAGGATCAAAATTTCACTTTCCCAGGGAAGGCTTCAACATTTTGTGTTTGTTGTATACCATTGAGAATGGTGAATTTCTGTTATGTAATCCTTTAACTCCCAAGTAATAAGTTCTACAGTGATTGCACTTGATTCGTTGCTTAGAAGCGATGATATGAGAGCTGTGATCATTTTTCATCCATTATGTGAGATCTGAGAGCCGTCTTGTCTCGTCCATACGTTCAGGGATTCGACCCAAAGATGTAGTCAGGTGTTTCTTACTTATTGCAATTGTGACAGACCAGATGTAAAATGTTATCCTAGAAGTGTGGAACTTTCTGGACCTGGGTGTGACGAAGTTGGCACTGACTGTTACCTCTTCGAAGATCAGAATTCTCGCTGGGCAGTAGAGCTGTGTGAGTTACCTCATTTTGACCTTTGACTGTAAGACCTGTTTCATGAAGTAAAAATCTTATGGACAACCAAACTGTGTTGTCTTTCATTTATATAAATGATGAAGGAAGACACTTTGACGTGAAGATGTGCATCTCCAATGTTTCTAGAAGAACCTTTCGGTCCGTTTCCTCTGCTGGGGGTCATTTGAGTTGAGCAAGGAGAAACTAGGAATGACTGAAGTTATACTCATAATTTGGGGAGATGAAAACCCAGCTTCAAAAAACTTTTAATTCTCCGGGGGGGTGGGAAGAGAAAAAAAAAATTTGTTCATTATGGAAGCAAAATTGTTCATGAGCCATAATGCGAAGTCATTATGAGACAAATTATCAATGCTGGCAGGATGATGTGGGTTCATTTCATGGGATCATTTTTTGAGTAAGTCATGACTATACTATCTTTTCAATGGGAAGTTGTCACGCTTCGATAATGATAATAAAAAATGCTTCAAAAGCATCAATTTGTTGGGAAAACTACCCTGTTTGACTGGAATGTGTTGAGCAAGAAAGGAGCAAATGTGAGCTTCTCAAATACTGGGTTTCCTGGAATGAATTGTGTTGCCGATTTCAAAGGTGAAACAGAGACCATTGTGATATTAGCACTTAGTTTGAAGGAATATCAGTTTTCCAGCTTCACGTTTCAAAAATATGCATGGAATTCTATGTACTTGATTGAGAAAAATTTTCATCGGTTTTTAATTATAAATATGTTGTTTTCTTTAAACCAGGGAATTAAGCAATTCCAAGTAATTGTCATCTTTGGTTTCACTTCCCAAGAGATGAAAATTAAGTCTCAAGATTAAAAGGTCGAACTTTTGCTCCTTTTACACCCAAACGTGGAGCAAATCGATGCAAGTTTCCCTCCTTCACTAATTGGTATGTTGAAATTTAGGCAATTGAGACAAATTTCTGGCTCTTTAGATTAAATATAAATACGTGGCATGCAGAGAGCCGGCACCATTCCCCTGCTGTCTGTCAGATTGCACTGGCGTGCCCTGAATATTCGAAGAGCAGTGAGTTCTGCAAAGTGGTAACGTGATCCTAAAGAGCATATGTAATGACTCGGACTCATCTTTGGAGTGTTTTCCCCGCTTCGGCTGGAGCCGAAGGTCCGTCGAGGAAGGAAAGGCGCGGCGAGAAATCACTGTCGTTTTATTGTTCCTTGGGGAGACACCGACATGGAGTACGAGAAGCATCTTTAAATCGAGGTTCATCACATCCAACGGAAGGAAACAATTAAAAAATGGGGGGAAAATGGAATCTAAACTCGCCGTGGCTCACACCTAAAGTTTACTTTCACGATGCGTGTCCGTGCACCAAAAGACACTTCTACTTTCGTCCTTTTTTTTTATCACAGCATTAGCTGGCTAAAACTGCCAATGATGCCCACAGCTCCCTACACGGCAAGAAACAACAGAACCAAGGAAGACGAAACGGAAACGCCATTTTTGATGCACCCTTTGAGCGATCGGTTCGCGGCCTCTCGGATGCAAGGAAACGGAGAGAGGGACACGTCCGCGAGGGGATCGCACCTCCGACCGTGCGAATCGTGAGCGTTCCGAGTTTTGAGGAATGGCACGTTGGCAGTGCGAAGCGCATGGTTACTGAATTCCACTAGAAGTCGTCTACCTCCCTACGTCCACGTCCTTTCGTCGTCGTTTCTGGTCACTCGCGGCCCGCAGCTCGCCGACGAACGGCGTCCCTCCGAGTGCGCGACCTCCGATCCTCTCCGGAGGAGGAACTCCGGTCACGTCGTTCTCGACACTACCTCCCCGGAGAGGGAACTCCGTCCGCGGTCGCGTTCGACACCGTAGAGAACGAACTTTTGGGAACGGTCGTCGTTCTCCGCACCTCCTCTCGAAGAGCTGCGCACGAGAAAGCGAGGGCGCACGAGCTGGGGCACCGGCCCTGTGGCAAACGGACGACTCAATCGCTGCAGCAGCCGGGGGCGACGGGCGCGACGACGGCCCGGCGCCTCTCGGGGCTGGAGTCGCTGCTGCTGGTCGAGACGTCGTAGAAGCCGTAGCGAGGGATCCCGAAGGGGTCTTCTGCCACAGGGCCTTCTATTCGTCATACCGTCTGCTCCTCTCTCGACAGGTCGCCCGGGTAGGATCCTCGTCGCGATCCCGTCGAAGCTGCCAACAGAAGAAGATGGGTTGGGATCACTGCTCGTGAGGACACGCCATTTTTACGTTTAATACACTCGAGAAGTCGAGGCGTGTCTGGAGGATACGATATTTGCTGTGAATTTATCGAGAAACGTTCTGCTGCAAACTCTGCCGTGAGCTTTTCGGCGTTTCTCCGGAACGGCTCGGCTGCATCGTCTCGGAATACCTGTCCGTTTCTCTGAAACTTCCTGACAAATCAATGGCGTCTCTTTAAAAAAAAAAAAAAAGAGTGTCGTTTGAAACCTCTGTCCGACGAGAAGCCCGCGTTGCTGTCGCGTTTCGACGGCTCGCTCCCCGTGCCCGATCCACGGGTTCGTCGTCCCGTGATGTCATTCCTGCTCGAGGATGGGGGATTCAGAGGGAAGGAGGGGGGGGGGGGGGGGGGGGTGGTTTCTTCCACTCTCGACTGCCACTCTTGGAACATACGGAGGCAAAGAGGACGTTTGGGAGGGACTACACCGCGAGACAGCAAGCTCCATGCCCGCTTTTGCTTTTGAATGACTCTGTCTTGAAGAAAAAAAAACTCTTTATGGAAACACGGCTTCATCCTTTCAATTTGTGAATAAAAAAAATAATACAGTATAAAAAGCTGGGCGACTCCCAAACTGTTGTTATTTAATGGCAGGAGTCTACAATAGATAGGAGTATTTTTTAAATGACGAAACGATGCAGAGGGGACAAGAACAAGATAAAAGAATTTTTTTATTCTTTTAATCAAAGCAAAAAGTTTCTTACCAAAGTTGAGAACCAAACCAGACTCAAATTTACATTTCGGAGTTCCGCTCCTCATGAAGGGAACTTGTCGGCGAGAAATTTCAATCCATTTATTTATTAACGAAAGTTTGAAAATGCAATCCGATTTCGTTATCTTATTTTTCCTCCGCATTTGTCGATGATCGATGCACGAGTCTTCTCTTCCCTCTTCCCAATAACTTTTTTTTTTCCAATTAAGAGCGAATAAATTTTGTTTTGGTCGGTTGAATCAGCCGCGGGTGCCTACTGGTATGTCATTGAAACAATTATGAAATAAGTTAATCAAGTTATTCATCTAATTAAACGAACCAAAATCATTTTTGTCGCTTTCAGACTCGATTTCTTTCCCTGCGCATCTCCTAGGAGGCCCGCTTTCTCTGAGTCAGACACGAGAAGAGAGTGTTATGTTAAAGAGCGAAAAGAAAAATCACGATGGCGAGAATCGCCCGCCTCTCACGATGAAGAACGCATCGAAGGAACGCGAGATGCAGAAGTTTTGCACGTTCGTGAAGACAAACAAATGGTAGGCACGCGCGTTTTCGCATTCCCCGACGCCGCATCGAACTCGATCGGTGGGAACGTCGATGCGTGACACGATGCTCACGGCATCGGATGCTCTCGCGAGGCTCACGGCATCGGATGCTCTCGCGAGCGAGGAGAGCAACCTCCTCGAGGACGAACGGAGGGGATGCGAAGGGTCTCACGCGCTAGAGGTCACGCCGTTCTAAGGAGGTCGAGGACCCTTGGCCCTGGGGCTTTCAAATCCTTTTGGTTCCCCCGACGTCCACCGTCGGTCGCAGCGGTGTCGCGGGCGTTCCGTGATGCCTCGCGAGAACCGCGAGTTTCGGTGCATGACTTGCTGAAGCACTTCCGGCCGGACCGAGAGAAAACCCTCATCCGAGCGACGCGATATCGGTTCATCGGACTCTCACCATGCCCTTTAACATGCACTTTGCACGGCACACTGCTATTCGCGTACGAGCAATCTCATGGGGCATGCCTGGTTCTCTTCAGTCATCCATCACATCGACATAAACAGCTCGATCGAAGGGAACTTTTATTGGGAAAATGAAGAGTATATCCCGAGGATAATCGAAAAAAATGGGGGGGAAATGAAGATCCATGCAAACCAAGATAATAATAAAAACATTTCCCGGTTTATTCCGAAACAAATCGGCAGGATTCTCCGAGGCGACCGATAAACTCATAGAAAAATGCGAACAAATCGTTGTCGATATGCAAATTCTGTCTCCAACATCTGCATAATATTCAAATAACATGCACAGGCAATAAACACTTTCTACCTCGGGGGGGAAGTACCTGGAATCGACGTCGGCGTCTAAAGGCCGTTGCGAATTTATTGCAGAGCGTGCAAAAAAAAAAAAACACGCACCTCGTAATACTGCATCGAGAATTTCCGAGCACCTAGATTCTGCCTGGAATCGGTTGGACGAGATCCCTAGATTCTCTTAAGCGTCTCTACATAATTCGATTATATTACTAAATATATATATATATTTTTTTTTTCTTCGGAATATCTTTTACATATTAGCACAAGACTACGAGGTGAAATAGATTCAACCATGTGCCTGAAAGTGCATATAACTAGAGACCAAAGCATAGTTATACTTCTGCTCGATTGCTCTGAGGATTCTCGGAATCAAGTCGAGAGACTATCAGGAACTAAATTCTCTGTCATCTTTGTTGCAGCCACCCTGATTTCAAGCTGTGCATAGAGGACAACCTTCTGGTAATGATGCAATTCGGCGACTGAAACTTTGAAAGGCTTTTTTTGCTGAGGATCTTGGGAACAAAACAAAAAAAAAACCACCTTGTTCGTCAGCTTCGTCCAAATCCACAGATCCAAAGATATTTACGATCCCAGTTTCATCGCGCTGGTCCTCGTGCCTTCGAAGGCGGATTCAGCTGCATGCACCATGGAATAAGGCATCGTTTGCGTATCACGCAGGTCCGGCTTGCGAGGGATCGCAAGTAGAGATGCCGTGAGAATGGGGGAATGTGTCCATGGGGGGGATTCAGGTCATGGTTTTGAGCTGGAGTATCAACATTCAAACGTGCACTAGAAACACCAGATACACAAGGAAAGAAAGATCACAATTCGACAACTGAACCGGACGAAAGCCGAGAGACGGAGCGACATCGAATAAAAAATATAAATTTCTGGGCTCGTAATGATACATGTCTCTTTTCAAGAACACAACCGTTTTTGTACAAAAAAAAACTGGATGATTGGCACATGCGCACTGAATGAATAAAAATGAATAACTGATGATAAATGCAAACGAAACCGAGCAAGTATACGACGACCGTCCCAGAAAACGAAACCACGGCAGGAAGCCTCGGAGCACTGGGACTCGCCGACGCACTGGTCGAGTCCTCCGAGCCCGCTTCGACGGACGTGCATCGCCATGCATCTAACGGCAAGGAGGGACATCAAACGATGCGGGACGTACAGGAATGGTTGCTGTCGCGGATCCCCAACACGGAGGAGTAGTCGTGGCTGGAGGGCGGGGGGACGGGCGTGACGACGCTCCCGATCCCGATCGGCGACGGGGATGGGGCGTACATCGGGGGACCCGGTCCGCCGAGCACGCAGTTCACCGAGCTTCTGGAACAGAGGAGGCCGCCCGTCAAGTCTGTGTCTTCCGCGCCTTGCACCTTTCGGGATGCCGGGAGGGCGAGCGCGGTCGCTCCCGGCGTGTTCGCGGGCCGAGGCCGCCGTGGCCTCTCGTCGTGCATCTTCGCGAATTCGAACGGGATGCGAAACCCTCGTGAGAATACTTAATCGTGCATAGATGCATTACAGTATTTCACGAGCTATCCCTCGCGAGGAGTTTCGGCTGGACGCCACGTGCCTGATTTGTCCTCCCAGATATCAAACGGGAGATGGGAAATCTCGCTGGCATGTATTTGTGACAAGGTGCAAGGAGGATCGAAAAGTCCCATGCAGAAACATGGTCATGGCAAACAAAAAAAATTGTTCTCAGGCCGCTGCACAAAATCGAGACACATCCATTACAGCGCAACTTGGAATCAGATGAACCAGGTCCACAAAGTGCCTCACGGCAACGAGATGAACTCTCTTCGTGTCGGACCGAAGAACCTTTAGGCAAAGGTCCATTAGAGCTTCTAAGGTTCCTATAGGGGAACGGAAACGAGCATGGGTCGCGAGTCGGGCGGCTCTCAAATCTTGGGCATTCTCTTCCCCAAATCCCGCAAGCTCAGGTTTTCAATTATTTTCGGAATCCACAGGAGGGAAGGAAACATGCGAACCCGGTCCATCTAATTTCTGACTTCTGGAACACAAAAATATATATTGAATTTCCATTAATGCATAAATTAATTGCCCAGTGTTTCTTTTTCAAGCGAAACAAACCTGAAGGAATCAATATTACTTGATTCCTAATTCTTCCCGATTATTGTTTTATCCTCCCTCCCCAGGGGAGCCATAATCGCTGATCATCTTGCATGCAAATTCCTTTTTCCCGACAAAATATTTTTTGAGTACCGACACTCCAAGACTTTCGCATCCTGTTACCACGACCAAAACCATCCTGGGTACCAGAAACAGGTTTGCAAAATCGAGAAATCTTCACACCGTTGAGTAAAAAAATAAATAAATAAAATCTGCAAGAGATCTGACGCCATGACAACGTTATCGACACGAAGTTTGGGAGCTCTGTCGGCCCACTCCTCACGAGGTCGGATGGGCTTTTTTCACGATTTCACGCGTGCTTCGGGTCTATCCCAAGGGGAGATACGGAACTGCATTACTAGCCGTGAAGTCGTGGGTTCTCTTCGTCACCGTGAAACAAAAACATGCAAGAAATGAAACATCAAAAGATGAACCTCTTCACTATCTGAATTTTCAAATTGAGTGAGATTTTTTTTTCCCAAGTTCCCTCATAATTTTCCAAATTATGGGCTGTCGTTCCCTTGGGGAAGCAATGACCAGCAAACGGTTCCGCCCTCGCCGAAACCCAAAAAACGCCGCACCGATTTCTCACCTTTCTGGTCCGTGGAATGCCGAGAACAGTTTCCGAGGTGGAGAGAGAAAAAAAAAAGACACACAAAACGAAGAGAGCTCGAAACGAGACACCCCGGGGCGCGATCGAGGGGGGACCCGCCGCGGGTGTCACTGTCCGGCGACGCCGTCGCCCTTGCGGTCCACGTGCGTCTCGCCCATGGCGTCGTAGGATTTACCGGTACTAAAAAAAAGGAACAAAAGAGAAACGAAACGGAAAGGGAAAAATAAGACGTTGCGAACAAAACAAGAAATGTGGCAAATAAAAAATAAATCACGTGTTTGCTGGGCGATTCAAGAGCTACTAAGTCAGCTCAGCATTCTCTCTAATCTGTCCCATTTCCTTTTAAATCATTTTCACGTGAAAATTGCAGAGCTCCCACTTCGAGTTCAGCAGTAGAAGACATTTCGCAGAACATTTTGTACTGTCAAGAGCTACAGGAGTCCACTTGATATGCAGGCACTTTCTACGGAGCCATGAATCTTTTCTGGCTAACTCTTACTCTGGCTAATTCTCGTTCTGGCTAATTCTCTCTCTGGCTAACTCTTGCCCTCTGCTGATTCTTTCTCTCTGGCTAACGCTTACCCTCTGGCTGATTCTCTCTCTCTCCCCGACACACTCCAATAACACGGACACACCCACAGGGAGAAACTCGAGAAGCAGTTCCAGTGGTTCCTCGACCTGGAACGGCCACACTCTGAAACCGGAGAGGTGGAAGAAGATCGGTAATTTGTCTTCTCTCGCCTCCAAACTCTTTTTATCTTTTTTTCCATTTTTTTTTTTAAAGGAAAAAATGTTATTATCTGCATGGGATACATTCTGTCTGCATGAATATCCTCCATTATCGGTGTCACGAGTCCATTCCAAATACCGGTATGCATTTCTCACACGGGAGATGAGCTCGTCTCGTTGCAACATTCTTTTGAGCCCGTTGAAGAGACCGGGGTTTTGCACTTGACTTGGTGCTTGCAGCCCTCAGATTCTGCTGGATGGTGCATTTGAGACTTTTAATATTGATGTGTTTCGTGAGGTACCCAGATTGAATGTCTGTTGTCTTAATTTTTCATTACTATATTGTCTGCTCACGGCATCCTTCTTCCATAATTTTCTGTAAGAAAAAAAAAAAAAACAAAAAACAAACAGAACCCAGTAACGTTCGGGAAGGCATCAGCACATTACAGTAGCCGACAGGGGGGGAGGGGAGGGGGGGGGGGGGGGATAGAACTGTCAAACTGATGCGTTGCATTTGCCGAAATTGTTCATAATTTTGGATCTGGGCTGTTGGAATCGTCCCGGTTAGGGCACCCCGCCGTCTTTGTCCATCCCATTTTTTCTTGTCTCTTCATGACTTGCATGTCTTTTCTTTTTACACTTTCAGGACAGTCAAGTCATTTCAGAAATCTGGTTCTTTCCCCCCGAATGAAATACAAGCAGACTAATGTAGTGTGACACCTTAAGCATTCCCCCCCCCCCCCCCCCCCCTTATTTTTTTTGCACCACTGCTGCCTACCCAATTTTTTTACCCACGAGCCACCACTGTTTATTACATTTCAAAAATAATGAAAGTCAATATAAAAATGAAACAAAGGCGTAGCTCACAATGGGAGTATCTCATGAATGTGTCCACATGGCTAACGTCATCACCTATTAATTTTTAATCTGATGACCAAAATTCTTGTTGATGAGTACTTCAAAGATGTACTATCCCCGGCAGTTAAAAATGATTTTCTTCTTCTGGTCGATTTCTTGGACACCTACAAAGATCAGGATGCAATTAACGGTGTTAAACCGGAGAACAATGATTGTAATGCAGATTCCACCAAAAACAACTGGAATTATCCAGCCGTTGGGTATTTATTTCTTCCGCATGTGGAAAGACTTCATTCCGCAAAGTTTCAGATCGTATTCTCATGGATCATCTTGAAGTCAATATTTTTCAAGGCGATAATATTTCAACACTCCAGTCAATTACCCACAACCAGTTCTCGGCTCCTCGGTTTAAGAATTTCATCACATCAAAGCAGGGGCGGACTGGGACTAAAAATCGGCCCTGGCATTTTTACTCACACTGGCCCGCATTGAGGCTGTGGTTTATAAGCCAAAACTGATAACTGAAACAAACTACTAGGCAATAATTAGACCTACCTAATTGTTGGTGTAGCTGGGGGGTTCATCAACTCTCAACTGCAAGGAGCCGTGGAATCACACTGCGGCGTTTCTTGTGGCATTTGCCAGAGTTGCCAGATGGCCAGTCCGCCCCTGGTTCAAAGCTGGATATATGGATCAGAGGCTCGAAGCACATATCACGCCATTCAATATTGCTTCGAAATTATACATCTTTCAACAGGACTGTTAAAACTTAATAGGTGATAGAGTATGTGATGTGGCCACATTCATAAGATGCTCCCATTGTGAGCTACGCCTTTGGTTCGCCCATCTTTACACTGATTTTCATTGTTGCAATTCATAAATTTGAAATGTAATAAATCAGTCCTTGGGCCACCTAAAATTTTATTTACAGAATTTAATAATAATGTACTGCATTTGTACAAATTTTGGTTCGAATCGGAGCGCCACACTCCATGTTCCTTGTGAGCATGGTTTTTTGCATGAGTACCTTCCAGCTCATACGATTACGTAATGATTATGCGCATAGCCTATGAAATATGAACTCGTGCATGTGCCTCAGAAAAGAAAAAAAATGTATGGGAGTTAAATGAAATGGAATTCCTTCAATGTATGTCGAATGCCCTTACTCCCTGCGCTACAACTAGTCAGCTTTACCAAGGAAGAATAATTTTAGCGCAAGGAAAGGCAAAGTTACTACCGGGAAATTATGAACAATGCGCAACTCTGCATAAAAAGCGGCGCTCTCATTGCTCACGCATACTCACTTGAGTTTCCCGCCCGAATGCTCTCGGTGACTCCCCGAACTGAATACAGACTTTCTCAACTCACGATTGTGCATTAACGCGCGTAGAGAACACGGTTTCCTAGATCGGGTGCGAAATTAAGTCGCACTGGTTAAGCTGCAGGGTGCAGCTCCCTTCTGGAGTTGCACATGAATTGTGACAACACTGTAGTCGAAGAGTATAGCGGGAAAGAGTGTGCCATGCGTATCCCATGCAACTCTGTTATAGACTTCTTTCATGTTTGATATATCTGAAATCTGACTATAGGCTTTAATTCCCCCCCCCCCCTCCCCCCATGGAATTCAACGTTTTTTCTATTGAGAAAGCTTAAAACAGCGTACGGTATCCTTACGCTGGCTTCATTGCTCACATGATATGTATGTTATCTATCGGTTGACGCATACCCTAACCACTTTCACGGGAATCTTTGCGCATATACTTCGAAAATAGTGAATAAGTCATTCAATAATTAATATTGGATTATGTTGTTTGGTAGGTCTTCTTCGCAGGTTAGGCTAAGCCTACTACTTTCCAAATGAAGTTACACTTTTGCGCGTAGGCTTTATGGCATGACAGGCATGAAATCTAAGTTCTCTCAGACAGTGGAAATCGTGAAGTCTAGACTAATCTTTTTCCAAAGCATCTTCACTCAGCAGCAAATTCTTAAAAGTGCATTAAGAGTCATAAACCCCTAATAGGAGATTCTGGAACATCCTGAATCACTCCTGAACATGAAGAATCCAATTATTTTCTCCCTGGGTTTCACTAGGACAGCAATCCTGGAAAGAGAGGGGAACTGAACAGGTAGCAGGCATGATTTATTTTAGGGTAGGGAAAGACTTTGAAAGTTTCCAAGGTGCTACTGGATGTTATGGATAATCCCAGTCTACCTTTGTTCCAGGGAAAAAGCTGCATTGATAAAGAACTATTCTTGCTGGAGTGTGGCTAAGTGTGAAGGTCTGGTAGCCTTTAAAGGATCTAACATTTGTTCGTGTGTAACAACAGTTTCACACTAAGCAATCCCTAAATGATAGATATGTATCAATTTTATTATTTTATGCCAAAAAATGACCTGGCCTGGTTGTATCTTATCAAGTCCTTTATGTGAAGCTTTATCAAATCTGCTGTACATTAGATAAGTGATTCTCAACCTTTTATTCCCATGAATTCAGTGGTCCATGGACCACCAGATGAGAACCACTGCTTTAGATGATGCCATTTATCTTCAGACTGCTGAATGTCATAAAATGGTGCTTGTCAACTTGGAACTATGATATTAGCCTCAAAGAATGACAATTTTCCCCAAGTTATTGCAGCATTTTAAGTTATCATATTTCAGTCTCTTTATTGAAATAAGTTACCTTACATTCACTAAAGGAGACTTGTACCTAGCAGTCCTGATTTCAGGAGAGCTAACTTCAATAATAGGAAGATTGCTTGTGGAAACATACAAGTGAAATATGTTATATTTCTATTCTATATGCCAAAGGTCTCATAATGCCTTCATAATGTTTGTGCATCCCACTCGAGTATTTCTTCGCTTGTTGGTTTCCCTCCATGCTGTTGGTGATGTACATCAAAGAAAATTGTCAGTGATACTTTGTGAAAAAGCTACATAAATAGTGCAGGCCATCAAGTTACCATGCATTCAATTGAAAATAAGCTAAATTCAGCTGAAAAAGCTTTGCAGTTTTGCTTGCTTTTGCTTTTTCTAACACCTTCAAGATAAAAAGTCTAGGAAAGTGTAATGGTTTATAGAGCAAATCATCATATCTCCCATTGGCCTGTCTTCATTATAGGCTTAACCCATTTCATTGATGAGTGTCTACTAAGCTCTCTACAAATTTTCCATCTAACAGATTCTCAGGAAACTTCATCATAATACATCATGAAGAGAGTAAAAATAAGTGTTGGAGAAACACCATCAAAAAGAAGGAATAGCAATGTTCTGTCTGCAGCATCTCCTCAACTCAGTGTGTTTGAGGATCTAGTGCAAAAAAGTGGAATTGAGCTACACAATGATTCTCCCAACTGTCTCAGTAAGTTTTTGTTTCTGGGTTGCTTGAAAGCTTCAAAATGTGCTTCTTGTTTAGTGTAGGAGGCTACTACAGTAGTAGTAGTCTGAATTTTGCAAAAGCTATGCTTCAGTTTATTTTTTCTTGTTCCCCTGTTGCAGTTCTTTCAATGCAGTTCCCTTGTTTTTCAAGGGCAAACTTTTTCTCTATATGTAAGCATGAATAAAGTAGTTTATTGATGCTTCTGATAAGAAACATTTTTCAAGTGCTTTAGATTTAAGGAAAGGTGAGTCTTGAACTTAAAAAAATTTGTAGTTCCATATTAGCAAATCTTTCATGCTTAGTATTTGGAATGGTTTCTTCCAAAGTCTGGGTAGGAATGCTATGGAATTACTTACTGGTACTTGCATGTTTTTATTTATTCATTATATTATTATTTTTTAAGGGCTGGTACATCAATAGTTGATGGCATTCACATTTTAATTATTTATAACACTGGAACAGCAGATTGTGTTGCCAAGCTCAAATTTTGCTTGCACAAGTGATAATGATAATCCATCCAGATAGCTAGGAAAATGAGTAAAAGAAAACATAAGGAAAAAAGCTGGGCATACAAGCTTCTGTCCCTCCTTTCATGAGATCACATATATTCCTTATTGCATGAACCTGCTGATCATGTAGGGTTCAGCCACAGGCCTTAAATCTTCACCTATGCCTATTGTGCTGCAATCTCACCATTGGTCGCACTTTATTATTTATTTTGGCAAAATACTAATAGGTTGATTGATCTATGTATTTATCTCAAAACTCTCACTGTGAAAGCCCAAGTGTTTTTTTAAATGGAATTCTTTGTGTTGCTCATAGCCAGTTTAGCTAGAGATAGAGGTAAAACATTTTTGGAGGTGCAGTCTTACTCTACTATATGTCAACCATTCTCATGCAGTTTCATTCTGTTGCATTGGTTGCTTTGTACTCATAATTTATAAAGTGAATGTTTTCCCTGCAGCTGTTGACAGTGTGAAGTGGAGGAGGAACATGGAACGGAATCTGAAGAGCCATCCTAATTATCCATTGATAATGAGAGAACTCCTCTTAGGATTGAACCAGTGGCTTGGGGACCCAAAGGCATTCCTATGGGCTATGCGAGAATCACAAGGAACTGATATGGAAATGGCTTTAGACAGACAAAATAGTCTCCTCCATCTGCTTCTTAAAGTCCCTGTGCTTCATTCAAAAATCATGGAACTGCTTCTTGACAAGCTTCTTGAAGCTGCTCACATGGATGAGTTAGTTTTTTTCTTAGCTTGGGTGTCTCTTAGCATCATTGTTTTAATGGCTATTGGTATACACAGGGTAGGCAAAAGTTACTATACAGTTCTTGTATACTGAAAATAGCTGTTTTACTAATTTGGTCCTCTTTGTTTCAGAGTAATACTGCTGGATGAAGCTGGTAGCTTTTGAAATTACATTGCACTGTCATTTTCCTGTATTTGTGTTTTGTTGTAAACAACTGTCAATAAGGCATTAGAACTTGAAACTATTTTCTGTATTCACCAACTGTATAGTGACTTTTGCCCCTCTGTGTACTGATTCATTGACTTCTTATCACTAGAATCAATTGAGGAGTTCTCAGGAAAAGAGTCTTGTGTGGAAAATGCACAATCCATGATTAGCAGCATAAGCACCTCAGAGCTCATCTGTAACTGATCTAAATCCATTTTTCAGTAATATGGTATTCTAGTCTGTTTTACTGAAACTTCATGCTTAAACTAAACTTTGAAGCTGCCAGAATGCATGTCAAAACTGTTTAAGTACACACGACCTTTTTCATATTCACAAAAAAACAATCTTTCCAGTCAGTTATTTTTTATTAAAAAAAAAAAGATAATTGGCCTCTGAAGCCCTTCCTTGTAAAAGATGGGGAAAGCAGGAGCTTTCAAGAAAGCATTTATGAGAGCCTCTATCTTTCTTGCATAAACATTACCACTGTTCCATATTGTTTTCCTTCAGGCACCCTTCCATAGGTTTGAATAACAAGTCCTTCTTCCACTTTCCTCCCTGCAATTGGTATTTATAATTAGATAATTGGACACCTGCCTGCCATGTAGTGAGCATGAGGAAATTTGCTTTTTCCTTGCTAAAAAAAAAAAGATATCTGAACCTCCTCAAGGTCACTATCCTATTGCAAGAGCATTTTCCTATTACAGTAGCACACTAGCATGGAAATGGAAGTCAGGGATGTGGGTACTTATGCCTTCAACTTTAACTCTTCAAGAGAACCATTGCTTACCACCAGCAGGAAGGGGATACACAGCAGTGAGGATTCTGAGTCTATATTTGACTCTGTGAAAAGTCTTAACTGTATTGGAGACTATGCTATGCATTGGTTAATTTGTTGTGCGGCCTATGCCTTGGATCATTGAATGATGGTTGGACAACGTGGGCAATTTCTTTCACGAAGCATGTCTCCTCAAACAGTTGAGAATAAAACTTGTACATTGCATATGTGAGAGATCCATGACCCATGGAAATATCAATAACTTCATTATATGAAACTAATGATACGTGGTCTCCATCCTGGGTGTTTGGCAAGATGGATGATATCACTGAGTCAGGTAACCAAGCCTGACAACATATGTCCCTAATTAAAGTCTAGGATATCCTCATAGTCTTATAATCTTTGAAAAGTTGATCATAGGAAGAGATTAAAAATAGGGAAATCATTTTTTTGGCTTTGTATAGTCAAAACGGTGTAGAGGTGTCATAAAACATCAAAGGCTGCAGATGAAAGGAAAAAAGGAAAGGAACTGCTCTGCAGCCATGATTGATGGCTTGGGAAATCATGAGAAAGCATCAGAGTAAGTGACAGAAGGTGATGAAAATTATAACTAGTTGTGTAGCCATCTAGGACTTGACCTTGGGAGAACTTGCAACCATTCACAAAGGTTCCTAGTTATGAATGGGAAAGTCAATGCTTCAGATAATTTTAATCAATGCTATTCTCCGATTTCAAGCAATAATTTCATCATTCTTGTATATCCTTCTCACATTAGCCCAGAATTGGAAGGAGTGGATGTGCCCCTTCTTATCCTGTCCCAGTTCCGATGGCTACATACAGATATATCTGAGTCCCTGTGTGAGAAAATCCTGGAGCTGCTCCAGGCAACTCCAGTTCACATTCAGAGAGACATCATTGCTCTCATACCAGATATCCTGCCTGAACATCGATATGAAAAGATTCTGCCCACACTAGGGTGAGCATTTACTGTATTCAGACATGTAAACCTCTATGCATTGATATTTTTAAGTATGAATAACTTCAGGTATTGTTTAATGCTGCAGGGAATTACTGAAGAGCAGTCCTGAGCTGCGACCAGCTATTCTGGAAGCATTGCCTAATTTGACAACTGAAAATAAAGTACTCAGAGCTCAGGCACTCAAAGTCCTTCCTTCAGCTCCCAATGCTCATCTACCTGTGTATTTTCAGTTTCTTCTCAAGGATCTCCCTGACATGCAATCAGCATTAGAGGTAGGAACTTTTCTATCCTTGTATAGCCAGATAATTTTTGCTTGTTATATTAGCAGGTGCATGCTGCCTCTTGGGTAATTCTATATGTATTCCTCATAGTTCAGTTGTCTGAAAGGAAAAGCATAAGCAAAGATAGACTCTGTTAGCACTTATCAAAAAAAGGAATGATTGGTGTGGTGTAAGGAGTATGTGAAAATGTGCTAATTGGTGGCTAGGTTACTTCTACCCATGTGTCAGTAAGGAGGCAGAATTTCTTCTGACATTTGGATGAATGTTGTATTGTTGTGTGAAGGTGATGGAGAGCTTGAGAAATCGAGTGGACTTGAGCAGTTCTGAAGACCAGCAGGGTGTCTTACTTGCTCTCGATTCCCTCCGTGTTTCTCTTTCCTTGAACAAAGTCATTGGGGATGCTTTGTTGAAGGCTATAAGCAGGGGAGATGAGGCCAAGGAAATGGATGTATTATCCCTCCTCCTTCTTCACTCCCTTCCAACCCGCAAGAAATCTGCATTATCACTTTTGAAAAAGAAGGTTATAAGCTCTCCTGTACAATGGGGGATTGTAGTGGAGAACCTCATCAAGCAGTTTCCCTTGGTCAGTAGGAGATTCCTCCACTAAAGTCCATTTTATATCTGCATTCTTTATTGTTCGCACTGACTTGTTGTCTTTGAAATTGAGGTAATGGAGAGCTTGTTCAAGGAGTATCTATCCATGGCAGAATCTCTCCTGACAAGGCCTGAGCCCAGGTTGCATTCTTTTGCCTCTCAGATGTTTCGGTGAGCTATGAAAAACAACTCTGCTAGCTTTATGTTTTAATCATTCACTGCAGTTTGTTGCACATGTGCAACATGGTGTTCTACCATACAGGTCAGTGTGTCATATGTGGAACAATTACCCTGATTTTATGAGGAAAATCTCATGTTCATTGAGAAAAAGAGAGAGAGTGAAATGTGTTATGAGAGGAAGGAGGGTGTTTAATGGAATATTGATGTTTTGGGACAGGGTTTGCCCAATTATTAACAACTCATTCCTCAATCCAGGAGTGTCTTCCTCCCCAAACCTCAATACAAAATGAATAACAAACAGCAGAATAAAAACATTTTAGCATAGAAACTCAGTTTATATGATATATTTCCAGGATATGTTTAAAATCCATGTTCTTAAGCATGTGAAAACTTCAAAAGGTATAACCAGTATGCATATAGATCATTGTGAATTAATCACCTACATGTTTTTAAACCTCTGTCTGAAAAGAATTATACAAAAAAATTTTTTTGTGAGTCAGTGCAGAAATTTCCTATTCAATGAAGTGACAATTTTATCAACCAGTGTTGGTCAAGTTTTTGTTTTTGTCTCTTTGTAGTCGTATGGCATTTCATTCATTCATATTCTAGTCATACCACATTAAAAAGGGTTTAGTGAGGTGATGGCCATCCCATTATCATTTCTTCTTGCTTTGAAGTTCATACTTCATTTTCTTGAAGTTGTATATTTTCATCCTATCAGAAAGTGATTTAATCCAGGGGCTTCTATTTGCTTTTTTTTTGTTTAAAAAATTAATATTTAAGCAAACCCAGGAAGACCTAAAGTTTGCTATGATTGAGGTAGTTTCTAAATTTGCCAAAAATTTGCTTATATAATAGCTGTGGGACAAAATTCAATGCCAAAACTGCAAGTTTTTCTATTTTTGAAATCTGATAAATCTAGGAAGGAAAGTAATTATGAAGTTTGAGAGCTTTGGGAAGCTATGTGACTGATCACAATCTCTGGATTGTTTCTTATATAATTCTTTGCAGTTCGTGCAGGTGACTGGAAAAAGCTTGGATAAAACTTGCCTTATAAAGTGCTACCTATATTCAGCTTTCCATAAAGTGGGATATTAGTTTATTGAAGTACCTTTGGCAGTGCTGCAGAAGCATATGTGAATGCAGTAAAGTAAACTTGATCATCTAGGATACTTTTTGAATGTCACTACAGACATATCACAAAAGTCAGCTACTCTTGAATTTACTGCCTCCCTTGAATTTTTCCCTCTTCCCTTCAATCAAGTGATTCACAGGTGTATTTTCTGGTTATTAGGCATGCATTTGTGTGTACCAAGGGTCGTTACACAAAGCAGGAGGTTGTTGTGACACTGGTAGCCCTGCTGACCAGAGGAGGTTCGACTGGAACCCAGGCAGCTCTCAGTAGCCTTCACTCGATTGCATCTGAAGATCCATCTTCACTCTCACTTTACTATGTCTTCCTTCTTGTGGGTCTCTCTCTTGTCTTCAGTAATGGTGTTCAATGTCACTCTTATTGTACAAAATTTTCTCACCTGACAGACATTGTTGGATCATCCAGAGAGCATGAGTCCTGGTCAACTGGGAGGAGTCTGGGACATCTTAGTACTCCTTGCCATGGCTGAGAGGCGGAATGAGAACCTGAGGGGAAAGCTGGCCACTGTTCTAACCAAATTCATCTCCAGTCGTGACTTGAAGTGAGGAAATAAAGTCAAACTAAAATGAGCCAGAAGTTTAGATTCATTGATAGGAATCCATACTATATTTCAGAATGTTTGTGTGTCTGTCTGTCTGTCCTTTATGCACAGCCATGCCTCTGATCCCTGTCTGACTTTGCATGGCTTCCTCATTTGGTCCAGGGATGGTCATAGGCTAGGTGGCGTTTCAAAATTCAGACCCCCTGGGGCAGGGCCGGCCCTAGATCAAATGACACCCCAGGTGAGGAGCATCTTCCCACCCCAGGTGGGATGACCCTCCTACCCCTAAATCCAGCCCTGCCCCGAGGTACCTTATTTAGTGCAGACAAATATGGGACCTATACAATATTCACTCGTGCAATGCCAGGTACCTCTGCTATTTACTTCTATATTTGAAAATTCTATGTGTTAAGTGTTTGATATGAAAGAAAGTAAAGAAAGTGCCAGTGGAAAGTGGCATGAAAGTATAGGAGTCTCAATCAGCCACATATCTGTAATTTCCATCTCCACTCTTTGCTAGATTTTGTTTTTAACTTTTCAATGTTTTATTACCGTAGGTTCAAGAAATATGGAATTATTGGCCTGGCAATGATGATCAAGAATATCAATGTTGAAGTGTGAGTTAGCCTCCTCTGTGTTCCCTTTCTTATAAGAGACAATATAACAGACTTAAGGTCATATATTCCTTGAAGTATCTCAAAGTGGGAGGTGGATGTGGATGCATGGAAGAGGGAAGCATTGAAATTACTTCAGGTTGGATTTGACAAGACTGAAGGTCACTATGCTCTTCGGGGTCTACTCCTTGATCTCCTCTCTTCAGTTTTCTCTTCTGGGAAAGTCATTGTGGACATTGAGGTATCATGATCCCTATCAACATAGAACAAAATTTCCAGAAAAGTCTGGACTCATATTGAGTTATGTTGTTGATATCAGAAAGAGGTGCAGAAACGAGTGGAGCATGAGTTCTGGGAGCTCTTTGTCTCTGAAGCAGAAGATGAACACTGGTGAGACATCTTGCTATTGCTCTTGGATTTTTCAGTTATCATACCAGTCTCCCTGAGGGTTTTTTGTTGCTTCTGTCAATGGTATCCAATTGGCATGGAGCTGGAGCAAAATTAATTTTCTATTACAGCATGAGAAGATCGGGAATGTTGGTTGAGGGAGTGGATATGGAGCTGCGTTATACTCTTGTCAGTCATCCAGAGCATTCCCCTTGGGTCCTACAACCTCTCTCTCAGCATCAATGGTAGCTCTCACCTTTCCTATACTTATTTCAAATTACAGTGTGTCCACTGGAATATGCAGGATATAAAAAGGCTTTAATTTTAATTAATAAGCTTTCACTTCCAAGAAATTGTTTGTTATATTTTTGCCCAAGTTTAGAATCAAACAGTATCCACTTGCTGGTCCAGAATGTATGTGTTTTTGCAACCATCTGCTGAAGGCATCCATGACATCCTGCAAATGCTCAACAGGAATGCATGCAATCCCCAGAACATGCCTGACATAGAAAGGTTTCTGTTCGTCAGATATTTTTTATCAATTGCTGAATGTTTGGTGGATCTGAAGGTATTTTTCTGAAAGTTAACTCTAGCAACTGAAGCCATTTGAACACTGTTGTTTTCTCTATGATACTGCATCTGTTGCATCAATCCTTGAAAATATGTCATATAAGATGGAATTAATAAAAATTTGGTTGATTGGTTACAAATTGCATTGTATAATTAGCACTTTAAAAAGTTTTTGGTGGCGTCATGGATTCCTGATTTGGGAGGGGAAATTCATAATGGATGTAGTGTAAGAATCCTGGTGACATGTAGCAAATTTACCCAAAAGAAACCATACCTTTTTTAAAGTAGAACTTAGGGCAGTCATGACATATCAATGCATCAATTGATGGCTTGTTCCAAGCATTGCACTGCATTGACATTCTGACAAGTGAAGTTCCAAATTGCAGATGTATAAATAATGCATAAGTGATGATGAGAAAGGGAGGGTAAGAAAGTGAAAATGGAAGAACATAGTGATGAGACAATGGAAACCATTCCAGAGAGGCCAGCTCTCTACACCCTTCAATCTGCTTGTGCTGGCTTCCAGCCTCAGGCCCCTCCCTGTATAACTCTGTGGTGCTGCACAAAATAGATACAAATTCATTTAGGCCTTAACCCAAGGCCTTGTGTCATCTTTCAAAGCACTTTTCCGTTCTTTCTTCTGATTGCTCACTGATCAATGATGATATGTTTCACTAATGTGTTAGTGCACTTTCATGATAGCCCTGGTAAAACTGGCCCAGGTGTGGCTTGTTAAATGCAATGTCTTAAAAATTTATTCCTTGGTCTGTACAGCAGACTATCTCCAATGGGGATTTACTTATTATTTGCTGAAACTTAGGCAGCTCCTGTGCCCATGCTTCAGACTTCTGGCCACCATGGTCCGCATACAGAAGTTTGGTGATAAGAGAGACTTGAAGCGTCTGCTTTGGACGCAACTTTGCCTTCCTTCACATGACCTGCAGGATCGCATCCGAGAAGAAGGGGAGGCTTCTGTCCAGCTTCTCATCATTGGCCTCTATGTGGCTCTGAACTGGTTCATTGAGATTATCAATATGTTTGCACCTGACAGAAGTGTGCAGAATGAGGTGAGGCTGGTGATGGTGTGTTTTATTGTTTACACTCATAAACTTGTCCAAAGTCAACTTTTATAGGTGTTGGAGAGGCTGCAGCAGATTGTGACCCTAAAGGCAGAAATTGAAGAGGCCGAAAACCTGACTGATATCTCTATTTCTCCTCCACAATTCTCATTTGATCTTCAGTAAGTTGAGTATGGTGAATTAAATGATTTTTAAAATTACATTTTGCAGTTCACCAAGATGCAGTTTTTCTTGGCAAGAAGGAAAGAAAAATGAGTGGTTACTGCCAGATTTTCCATAATATAGATGAGTCTTTAGTCTGGACAAAGTTGCCTACCTCCTGAAGATAAGAGTTAGACAGTAACATGTAACAAGATGCTGTCAATAAGCTATGGAAAATATCCTAAGATTATTATATGAATTTTCTAAACCAGTCATGATTCTGCAAAGGAGGATACCAAGAGAGCCTTTAGGAAAGCCAAGAAGATGCCAGAGAAGGCCCTCAGTTTTCGAAGCATTGACTTCTGTGTTTTCCATCTACTTCGTGGGTCCAAACTGGTGGGAACACTTTCCTTCTTGGCCTTGACTGTGCAATGAACTGTGCTATGACCATGTCATGCTCCCTTGTCTCCTAGAATGTGCCAGAGAAGATTTACCTGCTGAAGGACCTGGAGGGGAAGCTTAAGTTGGCTATGGGACCCAATGGAGAAGAGGTCCCCAATGGTGATCTTAAAAATGCACCTTTGGAAATGGGCAAGCTCATTCCATCTCTTTGGTCTCTTCTTGTTGAATCTCTCCCAAAACCAGTGAGCTCTGCATCATTATGAGAACAATACATTCTTCATTTTCTATTGAGTTTATTCATATTGCCAACATGAGTGTTGAGTCTGATGTTTTTTTCATGGATGCAATATCTTCATGTGTGTTCAGAAACCAAGTAGGAATGAAGATGATAGCAATGAGGAAGTTGAACAGGATGGAGTAATTGCCCAGGAGAAGGAATTAGTGGAGTTGATCATTGAGTGCCTGGTTCTTTTCTTTTCCTGGCCATGGCTTCATTCCTCCCCCTGCTATGAGTCCCTGCTTCACAGTCAGCTATTCCTTCATCTGTCACATTTCAGTTGGGTCTTTCCCTTCCATATTATTTTATCGTAAGTACCATGGATGCAGACTCGCTGAGAGCTATGGGTGAAAAAGTGGAAGGAGGAAGTCAACGAGAACTTCTGGTGGGTGCATTTGGTTCCCTGGAGTCTCTTCTCAATACTGAAACCTTAAATTCCAGCAATGTCAGCATCCTGAGGCTAATGCTCCTGTTATCAGACATTGCTGGCGCTCTCGATCACAATGAAACCGCTGACCAGATGAAGGGTCTCCTAAGTATGTGGCTCATTTTATCTTCATTTGAATGACTATAGAGTCAAAATTGGCAAAAAAAATTTTTGTAGGTGAGTCATCTTTGAATCTCCTCAAGGAGGAAAAAGGGAAAGGTTTGACCTTGAAAAATCTTCGCACCCTCCTCCACATTTATCTACGGAATTCTGCTGACATGCTTAAAAGTGTGCAGGCACTGTGCCAGTCAACCATCCTGCATCTCTGCTCCTCCATTGACTCTGATGCTGAATCTGATAAAGAAGAGATGTTTCCTGCCATCAATAAGTGACTGATTTAGTTTCATTTCCATTTTTGGAAAGCTTTATCAAGTGATTCAAAGCATCAAATAGAAGCAGAAGTTTTTATTATACAGGAAGAACCTATGGGTTGTGTATGAAGAGGTCTGCAGTGCCCTGGTTGAGGGGATGCAGCGAGTGAAGAAAAAGGAAGACGGCATCTCAATGGAGGACTGGACTGAAGTCTCTGATATCTTTCTCATCCTGGTCAATGCCTTGAAAACTTTCTCCTCGCCTGCATTCATCAAGGCTGCCCTTGCTGTATGTTCTTTGTGAATGTCCATTTTGTAAAGTTCTGGAAGCTAGGCTATTAGAATACGGATTCAGAGCAGGAACAGGACCATTACAACTAAAGGTTGTTCAGTCTTGGTTCAGGTTCAGTCTTGAGCAGCCACTACCCCAACAAATATTCACACCATACTGACAGCAATCCATGTTCATCCATTTTGCTGCAGGGTGATGGTGCATTCATTTACTTACACTGTGTTCAAGATAGCAATGAATGTCAATTTGTGGCTCTCCTAGTGGAACCATTTTGGTTCAAAATGGTTCCAGTATGGTCCAAAATGGTTCCAATGGGTCAGTAATTTGTCAAACAAAATTTCTATACACAAGTTGGCAAAGATATTATTTTTGGTGACTGCCAAGTAATGGATCTTTTCTTTAAAACTGAATCTTTCCCTTAACCTTTCAAAACCAGCACTGCTGGAGGATCCCCCCCCCCCCTCCCCCCTCCCCAACGGAGCCTCCAGGCCACCTTCAATTAGTAGGGAATCATGACATAAAAAATTATTTATCCCCTTCAAAATAATTTACTTGACTTGTGATATACTTCTTCCAATGTTTGTAAAGAGCTTGGAACACTGACAATAACCCATTCTTGACAACCTCCTTCAATGCATTGATTGCAGCTGGCTGAAGTGTATCTGACAATTTTTTTTCTAAAACTGGATGTCATTTAAAATGTGAGAACAACCTTCTTTTGTTCAGAGGATGGAATATGAGGTGTCAAAATTGAAGAATGGGGGTTTCTGATTGACTTGAATGATTGATGCATTCCTGAGCTTTGGCATTTTGAACTGTATGAAACACTCTGGAACTTCTCCATATTCAGACTTCATCTCCTGGTTAGGCATGGATCCAAACATCCTCCAGCTAGACCTGAGGCCTCCTGGCCTTTTGGTCAGATTAACCCTTTGTGATCCACTGTCAGACAGTCCAACAATCTCCATAGCGTTACAAATAAAATGGATCACAATCAGTAACAGCTGAGGAGGGCACAACAAGAATTCTGCCTGGTTTCAGTCCAGCATTGGCAGTGTAATTGAAATCATACATCCAATCCTTGTACAGAGTGGCCGAAAAGTCACCGTACCCCTATTTACCTTCTCATATATTTTTATACAGTTCGCAAAGAGAGATCTAAAAAATACCTGTGTGCCCTTCTCCCATGCCCGCTCAACACAGCAGAGAGAAAAGGAGCATGCTCGACCGGCTGGACGACTTCTGCGAAAACTCAGCAGAATCAGTTTTGGCTGTTAACCATGGCAGACACCCAGGGCCGGCCATAGCTATTTAGGATTATTTAGTTATTTATTTAGCAAAGAGACTCCCGAAACGACACTGCTCTCACAATTCAAGAGTTTTTGGCTAAAAAAAAAAATTCCTGTGTTGCCCCACCTGCTCCATTCACCAGACCTGGCTCAGTGTGAACTTTTTCCTGTTCCCTAAGATTAAATTTCACCCGAAAGGAAAAAGATTTGAAGACATTGCACAAGCATCAAGGAAAATGCGACGAGGCAGCTTAAGAGCCTTTCACTCCAGGACTTCCAGCACTTCTTCCAGAAGTTGCAGGAGCGTTGGGATAAGTGCATAGCATTGAGGGGGGAATACTTTGAAGGGGACAACAAATAATTATAATGTACTTATTAAAAATAAAGTTTACGTATAAAAGTACTGGAACTTTTGATCAGACCTCGTATATATGAAAAGGTAGATAGGGGTACGGTGACTTCTCGGCCACCCTGTACAATGCTTCTGTAGACAGACAATAAAGGGAAAATGACATTACATTGAAATGCAAGGCAAAAAATTAAGGACATATGACATGGCCTAGTCAGTGTGAGAAAGGGATTCCTGAGCTATATGGCTGAAATTAGTGAATTTATCAGTGAATGAAAGACTGGATGGATATATCAAAACTACTTTTATGTGAGACATTACTAACTCTCTCTTTCATTTCCATCCCCAGTGGCTCAGGAAATGTGACTTTGTATTATCTCAGAGTACTGATTCTTTCAGAGTGGAACATGGCTCATCAAGGAGTTCCTGTCTTCAGCTCTGCCTCAAATGGAAGTGAGCTTCAAGATTGACAAGGACAATGTCCTGGGACTCCTCAAGAAATTCCAGTCCTCCACTCGGTACCTACAACATGTCTGCACGCACTCCAAGGTGAGGGGAGGATGATGCATGAAAGAACGCATGTTGACTCACCATGTTTCTATACTTGATGAGAAAAGGCTTGTGGTGATGTTGATGATTTTTATCTAGAGAACCCAAAACTTGGCACTGGCCAACAAGGTCCCAGCACTAAAGAAGTTGTTGGAGGAGTTTGTGTTTCGTGTGAAGGGGATGTTGGCTATGCATGGCTGCTTGGATGCATTCTGGATGGGGAATCTCAAAAATCGGGATCTTCAGGGACAGGAACTCCTCTCCCAACATGTCTGTCTCTTCTTTTCCTTATAGTGTAAACCAGTGATTCTTAACCCTGGGTTGCCAAGTCATTTTGAGTGGGTTACCAAGGGTCTCCAGTTTAAAAACTTTCTCATTTATTCATTCATTTATTTTATCATTTATCACAAGTGAACTGTTTGAGGACTTGGGTTGCTGAGCTATTCCCGCAACTGGAATTCAGGTTGCAGCCAAAAAAGGTTAAGAACCACTGGTGTAGACAGTATCTTGTTTGTGTATATCCTCTTGACACTCTAGGTCTGAGAGTGGATTGGGAGTCTGCTATTTTTTTCAGATGCCTTTTGTTTAAGAATATGTTTTTTTTTTTAACTTCAGTAAAAATTTGTATTGAAAATTGAAATGATATCAGAAAGATGCCTCTACAAATTTCAGAGAAAGAAGTAATTAATTATTGTAGTAGAAGTAATTAGAAGTAATTACTGTAGAAGTAAGAATTGTAGAAGTAATTATTATTATTTTTTTAATTTGCTTGATTAAAAAAAATGCACTGCCATTCAGTGATGCAGTTGACAGGATTGCTGGACAAGAGTGTGCTTTTGTCTTTTGACTTTGTTTTCTATGAGTTCCTGCATGGAACTTACTCTGTTTAGCAGTTGCCAAGAAGCAGTGTTCCAAATTATCTTGCACTAAACATTCACTTAAATTTAATGGCGAAATTCTAATGTAAAACCTGAGACAATATGTGTTTTAGTGACATGAGGTAAATTTGTGAGAATGCAACAGGCAACTGTTGAAAATTCATTGGAGAATATCCATATATGTTTACCAGAAGTCTCCAGAAGTTAAATTTCTACCTTGTTTTCTTTGTTGTATACAGCATGACATTTTCTTGTACTGATCATAGGAGAGCGGAGGGGAGGAGGATGAAGATGACAACAAAGAAGGAAGGGAAAGAGAAGTTGATGGAAGAGATGAAGAGGATGAAGGGGAAGCAGAGCAAGAGGGAGAAGGTAGTGGTGGTGGTGATGATGATGAAGAAGAAAAAGAAGATGATGATGATGATGATGAACCAACCAATGTTGGCCGTAAAAGAAGTAGAGTGGTTGATGATGATGATGATGATGATGCCTCAACTGTGGAGGTAGGTACTTGGTTTAGCTATACTTTGCCTTTTATTCAAATTCAATGGTTGAGGGTGGTATTTGATTATATGATTTTTGAATGGCATTATCTCACAGATTCAAAGGAGTGGGAAAGTTGACCCTGGTGATGATTTGCCTATTGTTGAAAGCATGGTGAGATTCATTTGACTATGAAATTTCAAACAGACTAGTCAGCTTGCATTAGCTAGCATTATCATTGATCTTTTAATGTTTTTTTTTTGTTGTTTTTTTTTTTTTACAGAACACAGAGTCTGATGATGAACTGTTCCCTGACTGACACTCTCTGGAACCTTTCATTACAGCAAATCATCATGTGTGGTTGACATTCATGGACGTTTTTCTCCATACATCCATTATATATGCTTTCCCTCAGACATGAAAGAGTGGATGTTGAGTGTCATCATTGTGTCAAAAGCTCTGACTGGAACACAGAGTAATTCATTTGCAAAGTTCTTTGTACCATCCACTTTCGTGAATGGATTTAGAGTGTATCAGGAAGTTTCAAGAATGAAGAACCAGTTCACTATTGAGCATCAACCTTCATGCCTTAGTTGTAGTCTCATTCATTCAAACAATTAGACAATTTATAATGAAAATATGATTAAATGATTTGTTTGGCTGTTTTGGATATCTTTTGTTGTTGGCTATTCCAGTTCCATTGCTAATCCACAGGCATGAGAGAGGATGGAAAAGCTAAGTTAAGAAATCTGGCAAAGAGAGAGATGGCCAAGTCAAATGCAGTAGACCAATACCTGAAGAAGTTGTGACATGGTCAACCCTTACTCTGCTGGTAACAGTTGTCGCTTTTAAATTTGAGGAAACTTAGATCATAAACTTCATTTCTCTACCTTCCACAGACACTCCTCCTTAAATTGTCCAATGTCTAATGACAAATTACCTACAAAAAGAAAAAAATTGTATTTTAGTTAATGTTTTTAGGGTGATGGAAAAAGAAAGTTGCCATCGTTTTCCACAGGAGAAAGTTATATTGATTTATGGATGCGACCGTATGTTTGATAGGCAATCACTCATTTTGAGGCTACAAAGTGCTGGAATGAAGTTAGATTTCTATCAGGATCCTTGCTTGACCCATACAATGCCACGTTATAATTTATTAGGTGGAGCATACCCCCTCAAGTGTTCCAATGGGCTGGGCTCGACTATTTCAGAATTCAATTTAATATGGCATGCAGTTAGATAATTTTTTAGCATAACGCACGGCCGAAATCGTTGGTCATTTTGTCAACGAGAGTTGAGATACAGAGGTTTGACATGAGGAGTAAAAAGTGAACCCCAGCTCTCAGATGCTACCTTCCTGTGGAAGTTAGCTTGTATGTCAAACATGTTTTGCATGTAGACCTTTCCACATGTGGCAACCTTGAGCAGTATAAGAAAATAATTTTATCAATGGCACAACCATTAACCTGGAGTGCCCCATTTGGTTCTGAGCATCTTTCCATCAGAACTGAAATCGCAATGACGCTCAGACGGCAATGTTGCCCATTTAAATTCTGACTTTTTTTCAGGGAAGTAGTTATGATTGTCAAATTCATTTATGTACTTAATGAGACCTTTAAGACTAATTTTGTGCATCTCTTCTGCCGTTTCTAAGATATTCAAAGGTGAAATTAGATGTTAGGTCGAGTTCATACTCGTGCTGTACACAGGAGCAGTCCGTTAACGGACCGCAAAACTGCACTGCACACTGCGCTGGACTGCACTCTGCATCCAGAAGATGCAGTCTTGCGTCTGCTGTAATGTATGTTCTACTGCTTAAAAAAAAAAAGTAGTTTCTATTGGAAAATGGTTTATATTAAATCCAGCATGCTGATCAGCACGGATTTTTTGCTGGACAACTTGCGGCATCCAGCTGCTGTATAGCATACTTCTTGATGCATGGCAGGATTGCAGCCCAGCAGTTGGACATAGTGGATTGGATTTTTCAGTACAGCATACAGTTACAGCATCCAACACACTGTAAAGCAAGAATATGAACTCGACATAGCTCTTGGAGCAAGACGTGGAAAAGGGAAGGTTGCTTTGAGGCTGAGCGAAGGCGAGGTTCAGGCGTGCGTTGAAGGCGTTTCTCTCTTTGCTTTTCGCACCAGCAAAACGCCGCAAGAAAGTAATCGTGGCTAGTGTTATCCTGCACATCTGTAGAGGAACTGAAATTCCAGAGCCTGACTTCGTTCCTGAAGAGGCCATCGTTCATGCTTACTTGCTTTCTGGGGAACCTCTCATGATTTGCATGAAACCGTCCCAAAGCACGTCGGCATAATGAAGTGAGACGATTTCTGCGGTGTTTTCGTTCTGTCACGGTTCGCGGTGTCCTCAGCAAAAATGTTTCACACGGTTGAGACGAAAAACGAAGAGCCGTTTAAATGGTATTTAAACGATCCGTTCAAAAGACATTATGTCCTCCAATGAGGGATCCCTGTGTTCGACATGGTCCTCATGACCAGGAAGGATAGCGGTCGAGTGTTTCCTCCTTTCCACTTCCAGCAGGTGCTCTTGTCCTTTCTAAACATCTAACTTCTTTCCAATATTTGCTGATCGTATAGCTTCAGCTCAACAAATTCGGATGACATTTTGGTAATCAGTTGGAAACATACCCCTAGCCGGCAAAAAGTTCCAGCCTGAAATATTACTGGTTTTATCCGTTTTGCGATGGACTATTCCGCTAGGTGGATAGCCGTTCAGGAAACGTCACTGATTTCAATTAGGAATTAGAAAGTAAGCGTTTTCCGACTGGAAAAGCATAGATTTGGCAGAATACACAGCATGAAACTCCTGCTGGATCCTGTTGGTTCATTCCAGCTGGAAACAGCTTACCAATTTCCAAATAGTCTGGAAATGCTGCAATTCCTGCTGGAAGTGGCTCGCATTTATAGATAGAAAGCTTGCTGTTTCTAGCTGGAACATTTTGCTTGGAAGTTTCACGAAAAGAGTTCCAGTGATTGCGGAGTTATATAGGCTAATAAAAGTCGTTGGTAATTTTTTTCCATACCCTGTAGATATCCTTTTGTTACCTCGCACCTCCATAATAGCATCCTAAAATATTAATTTCTTGTAAAAAAAAAAAAAAAGAAGAAGGCATGAGTCATGAGGTAGCCTAGCCTTCTCATGACGTCACGAATTCAGTGTGGCTCAGCCCGTTGTAGAAAAGTGCGGGATCAAATGGAGCAGCATGGTTGGTCGAGAAGTGAATATGTTAGAGGTCTCCCCTGTCCGGTATTCCGGGTATTTGACTTTAAGTGGATATCTCGTATGGTACTAAAGTTGGTGAATTCGAAATCAGAGTGAGTGTACGTGCTAACCCGAGAGACTTTGACCAACGTAACGTAAGGCTTGAACTCGCAGCCTGGTGTTATTGTCCACTACCTCGTGTTGAAGCGAGTGTTTACACCCTACGCTGACATTTTGACAAGAGTTAATATGAGCTCGGTGTTAAAAAGGGGCACTTTTATATTACTTTAACGCAGTGTTTGATTCAAATTTACGGTGGTTAACATCAGCTTAAGTTTAAAGCTTTTTGAGCAGAATGGACATATCAGGGTGTGGAGCCATATTCTTGTTCCAAGGCAATGCAAGGAATGATGTTTCTTGAGCAAAACTTACACTATTTTCGAATTGAGTTCGTTCTTTTCCTTCGTATGAATTCAATCAGAAAGCAGTGTCCTGATGTTTCAACTATGGATCCATAGTAGAATTGGGCTTCATTTCCTCTTCGCTTTTGGGTGTTGATTTGTTTTGGTGGTTCTTTTGTGGAGTTTGGGGATTCTAATTACTCTTTAACTACTTTAGTCATTATTGAATTATTAGTAGTGATTTCCATAACAAATGGCTTGCTACTTTAACTTCACAGCTCCCAAAAGCAACTAGGCCTACCTCTACAAAAAAGAACAATATTTGCGGTACTTGATTCTTTGGGTGCATTTTACCTTTAATCATGTTAATTTTCATGTTAAGACCCATGTTTATAATTTGCTTTGTCTCGTTTTGTGTTTCTAGCAAGCTGCATTCATGCTTTTCCCTGGTTGGGAAGTTATTAAGTTATAATACATGTCTGTACACCTTAACACATTTATCCAACATTCAAAGGATGGAAGAAAGTGTGAAAAACATTGTAGAAGCTGGTGATGTGGGGATGGAACCCAGTAACTTAAATGATAATCTCATGCAAGTAGGATCTGGTATGCCTATGGGAGGAAGTGAGACAATTGGAAAGGTGGTTGGTGATGTGAGGATTCAACCTGATGGCTCAAAGTATATTCTTGTGCAAGTTGGACCTAGTGTTCCAATGACAGACTATGAGGTTCCTCAGCAGATTGGAGCTGTGAACCTCGATTGTGAACCAGAAGGAATTGAAGCAGCTTCACCAGAAGATGTCTCTTCCTCAGAGCACTCTGACAGTGGAACAAAGCAGTCTCTCAAGTGTCCTGTGAAGGAGTGCAACAAAATTTTTTATCGACCAGATCGACTCAAGCAGCATGTGATGCTTCATGAGCACAATGTAGGTGAAGATCCATGAGTCAGACTTGTCTCATTTTTCATGGTAGCTGCATGTAGTTTTGGTATACAAGATTGACAATATTGGATATCTCCATTTGTAGCGTCCATTCTCATGCAAGGTGGAAGGATGTAACAAGAGCTATACAAGGCAGTTTCATTTGAGAAGACATGAGAAAACTAGTCATAAGCTTTCACCTTTTGTTAAAACTGTTCGGTGAGGAAAGAGCCAATCATTAGAGCCATGTAGAAGATTAGAATGATTCCTAGTAATATCCCTTTGGCTCTGACAGGTGTCGGTATGAGGGTTGTGAAAAGACCTTCTCTTATACTTGGAACATGAACAAGCACTTCCGAAGAGCACATGAGACCATAAAAACAATCTTCATTTGCCCCGAATGCAATGTGACCTTCAAAAAGCAATCCAAATTCAGAGCTCACCGAGAGAACTGTCGTGGGATTGAATCCACTTTCTTGTGAGTCCTTGCCTTTCTCTCAGGTTCTTAATTGATCATTGTATTGATCAATGCTTTTAAATTTCTGTTAAGTTGTCAGCATGAGGGCTGCAAGGAGGTGTTTTCGTCAGCATCCAGCCGAAAGGCCCATCACAAGCGACATCAGAAGTATAAGTGCCCCAGGGAAGGATGCAGCATTATTCTTGATAGGTGGACAGATCTTCGAAAGCATGTAACCAAGGATCACCCTGCCTTACCACCCTGTAAGTTTTTGCTTAATTCTTTTGCTGCATAATTAATTTCAGACCCAGGAATTTGATATTTTAAGACTGCTTACTAGTTGGCAGCACAATCAATAACAGGGAAGATGTGTAGGGTGTATTTTAGCACTTGTAACATTGCACTCCACTTAAAGATTTTAGCTCATGGTCACAAGTTAGAGTTGCCTTACCCAGTGAAAAGGTGAAAGAGAGAAGAGAATTTCAAACTTGATTTAAAATTGCTGAAAATTTGACTTTTTCCTTTCTGTGTGCCTTGTTTTTGTTGACTGAATTGGTGATGATTTTGGTTCCAGATTATAAATGTTCCCTGTGTCAAAAGGCATTCAAAGCCAAGAGCCACCTCAGGGATCACATGCAGGTTCATGTGAATGAAAAGGATGTATTTAAATGCTCACATGAAGGCTGCTCTTCACAGTTTGGGCACAAGAAAAACTTGATCCAGCATATGAAGAATCATGAGAAAGAGAGGGAAATGTTCTCATGTGCAGAGGAAGGCTGTGGTCGAAGTTTTTTGCACAAGAAGAATCTCCAGAACCACATGAGAGTGGCTCACCTGGGTCAGAGGTTTGCCTGTGTTGACTGTGATGCCAGTCTCTCCTCCTTTGTAAGTATTTCCTTCTCTCAACCAATACATGCCTAATGGTTTTATGTCATGAGTCTTTTTATGCCATCTAGCAAAAGCTGAAGTCACATCGAGCTCTTTTCCATCTCCAAAAAGCAAAGAAGGAAACTATGGAGAAGAAGGCAAGGGCAAGAAGGAAGGACAAGGGAAAACCAAAGAAAAACATGATATTGGAACTCTTGGCAGCCGGTGATCCTTCAGCTGATTTCTCCAGTGAAGTCTCAGATGAATATGGGAACCACAGTTCTGTTCCTGTTTTGGGCGTTGAAGTGGTCTCTTTGCCCAAGGTGGTAGGAAGTGAGTGTTCTGACAGTGAAGCTGAATTGAAGAAGTTGTCTAAGTTGTGCAGTGTTGAAACTGCTGATTCCATCAAATCCATTTCTGTTGACAGCTGATTCCAGTGCTGGTGCCTTTAGCTACAGCAATAATATTGTTACTTGTTCCTAGGCCGTTTCTTTTTTACACTTTTTTTTGCCAATTGAGGTGTGGTACATACCCGATATTGCCATGGCAATGTCTCCAGATTTGTCTGTTGGGAGAGGGTAGGTACCACTGTCTGTGAAGGAAAAAATGTTTGGATATGTCATGTGCTGTAGCCTTGTGATAGATCATCCAACAGATTTGTATCTTCATATTTTTAGGATAAACATTTTCATTTGATTCAGATGCAAGATGCAGGACTGCTCTATAAATGCAAAATAAGTTTGAAGTACCTTTGGCATGTTGTAGCACTTTTTTTCTTTCACACTGGTTTGTCTGATGAGCCTTGCTGCAATAACATTTTTAGAAAGATGATTACTGAGTTGAAACATAATTCTGCATCACCAAAGTCTAAAATGCTTCTTTACCTTCCCATTCATGTGTGAATTCATGTAGAATTTCATTTATAACAAGGGTAATTATTCTGCTATGGTTTCAGAGAAAGGATTATTTTTTCCAGGAAAATATGCTTGTCTGATTTCAAATTTTCTCTTGTAAATACTAGCTGCCCCTTGTGCACATGTTTCTTTAAAAGGGGAAAGTAAATTCTTCTAATAATAATCCTTGTCAAGGTAACCGACACGGAAGAGAGACTTTCCCTTTTACTGTTTTCCTGAGTATATATTTGGGCTTGTGTAGTGGTAGCCTGAATATGTGCTCAGGCTCAGACCACTCACTGTTTCTAGGTTATTTCACTGTTATTTATGTGTGTAACCACTATCTTCAATAGTTATCATGATATGGCATTTTCTGATATAAACTATTGTTTTCAGGTAAGCAGAGCCACTTTTTATAACACAAGGGGGATGGTAGTTTTTTTTAAATATAACAGTGAAAGGGTTATCTACCCAGTGTGGTGTATTAGGTGAGTCAGAATAACCAGTTTTTCCTAGCATGCACCTACACCAGAGGGCTATTCTGACCAGTCTATTATGGGATGTGGTTGACATAATCCTTTATATCATGAGTAGGACTTTTTTTATTCTCTATTAGGAAGAGATATTTAAAAAAATCCCTGTGAACTTTCCCTCAGAAAAATCACTCAGTATGATAGCTACTGTCAAGATTGGACTGCAGTGAGATGTCACCATACAGACTTTTTGGATGCAGGACACTATATAGAATCTGCAGTGATGTTTTCAAACAAAGGATTCCTCTGGCCACAAGACCAGACTTGAGATGTTATGCCACAGGAGATGAATCCAAAAAGAAGTCCAGCATTGTGACGACTGATCTGTCAATAAAGGACAAGAAGAAACGTGCTAGTTTGGACTCACCTCTAGTGACTCTATATGATGAAGAGACAGACATTACTGTGGTAACTCTGGAGCAGGCCGAACGGATAGCTCAACACCGCAACCTTCGCCTCACTCAGGTCCAGTCCCAAGACTCAAAGACAGGCAGAGCCATCTATAAACTGGTTACCAGTGGGGAGTATTTTGGGAAGGAGAGAAGTGGGAAGAAGCAAAATCAAGCAAAAAATAAAGGATTCAAAGGAGAAAAAAATCTTGGAATCCGTGCAAGCATCTCCACTCATGACTTGGAATCTCGGATCAAGCAGACCAACAAGTGGCTGGTTAAGGGCTTCCTTGTCTGGGTGGCCATTGATGTTGAGGGAAAGCATCCTGATGCGGTCAGACCATCTATACTGGATGGTAATATCACATACTTATAGAAGATTGAGTAATTCTTTGTCTACTTGTACAGGTGAAAGTGCAGAAGTCTATTCTGGAAGGGGTGAAGGAGCATGGGAAACTCAACCAGCAACAAGCTTCTCCTGCGACCATCAAGTTTGCTCTTGAACCTCTGCAATTGGAACCTCCACTGGACAGTGCCACATAGAACAGTTTTATTCCAGAAAGGAATTTTTTCCTCAAAATTGTTTCAAATAAAATTATTTCCATTGGATGTAGATACTGTGATTATAACAAGTGACTGGGCTGATGGGACACTGGTGGAGATAAAGATAGGAGGAAAATGGCACAACATTTTTTCTCTCAAGCCATGCGGTAGAAACTAGGCTTCAGAGGTCCAGACTCTGGCTTCATCTATGGGCCCAGTTGGTCAGGAAAGAGAAAATGGGCAGGGAAGGAAAGGTAAGCTAGGATTACCCTTACTAGGATCTCTCTTCCAAGAGAGATGTATTATTATTATTACCTCATGGTAATAATTACCTCATGGATGTTGTTGACAGTGATGGATAGGGGAATGGAGTTCAGACATATCTGGAAGCAAAGGGACAGAAGGTAACTCATTCTAATTCCAGACATGAGTTGTTTGCAAGGCCTGGATCTCTTGTACCAATCCTTTGATGATAAAAATAACAAGTTCTGGATAATGATCTTTGATATAGCTTGGTAGTTTCCTCATTGGTTCCCCAGAATTTAAAATAGAAAAATTTGCATGGGAATAAAAAATAAATTTAATACATAAAATATAAGTCACTCTTTTTAATAAATCTTTTTTTATTATCCATAAATAAGACTACTAGGATACCAATCCTAGTAGGGAAAAGGGAGATACAGAAGAGGACTAGAGGCAAATTTATACTTGTAAGGGAGAAGTGGAGACTTCCCTTGGGCAGGTTAGAGAAACTGGAGATCACAGAGGCATTGCCATTCCCAGGCAGAGCTGCATGACAGATAATTAATAAATTGCAGTAATGGTGATAGAACAGAGTGAACTTCTCAGAGAGATGATAAACCTTTTATGAAACCTTTGTCATCATTTGGGGGTAATCAATGCCACTTATTCGTAGAAATTTAAGAATGTATGAGTACTGATCACATCACTGCAGCACAGTTCCTTTATCTTTCCAGCAGCAACATCATGATACTGATTGCTTTAATAGCTTTACTTCTTGTATAAAGTGTTACACAGGTGTATACACCTGTACGGAATTTGAGGTTGTGTATTGAATGTCAATTTTTGCAGACTTTTCAATACAGTGAGTTAAACCAACCTATTAAATGCAACTAATTCTTTCAACATAAGGAAGGGCTGTCCCTCTTGAAATGGCTGCACCCATTTATGAATTGTGCTTCCTGGAGGGGCAGATCCTCTACAGCAGGGGTTCTTAACCTGGGGTCTGTGGAGGATCCATGGAAAAGGAAATGTATATAATTGAAGGTAGCTCCCAAAAAACATCATATATAATCACAAATCCATGTGTTCCAAAGTTTCTGATAACCAGGGATAGGGGTCCATGGAGGGTCCATACTTGAGGATCTGGGAGGTCCATCGGTTCAAAAAGGTTAAGAACCACTGCTCTATAGACATATTTGAACTGCTCATGAAGGCGTTCACTTTTTGCCTTTATGGATAGATGGATGGATGAATGAATGACAGCTCATTGTACCTCTCTTTGATAATTAGCCAAAAATATTGATTCTACCAACTGTGCTTAAAAAGTCTTTTTAAAAAAATGACATGAAATACAAATTGAAAATTTGCATGTAGTAGAAATGTAGCTATTACAGTACTCATCATTACAATGTTCCTCTTTAAAGATGAAGGAGCTTCTGGAACACCTCTCATAATGAAGATTCAAGGTAGTTTCTTGACCTTTGCAGGCTGATAGGCTGAAGGAAACCCAACAAAAAGTCTGAATCCAAAACAACGACTGAATTACCATTATTATGTTCACGTAAACATAATAGCACATTAAAATATACCCATAAGCAGCATTGCTCTAACCAAGACATTCAATAACATCAAATTCCAAACTATCACAAGTACATATATGAATAATTTATGAGGGAAATTCATCCTTGTCCAAATAAATTAGATCTTTCAGTCATTCCATGTAGAATTACCTTCAGTTGAGATGCTCACTCCTATCTCTTCTTTTAGTAATCTTGTACATCATGAGTTTTACACAACACATGCAAGAACAAAACACTTACTCATATGCTCAAATACCAAATGCACTGAAATATACATCTGTTCAAACATAATCTATATTATCTCATTTCATTTCCAAACTTCTCACCACCTGGAGCACCAGTCTGAAAATTGTTCATATCTGAGAATAGCTTCCACTCTCATTCAGCAAAGCTACTAGTAATGGCATAAATTGTGGAGTTGATTAAAAAAAAATTGCAAAAGAAACTCATCACATTTCAAATACAGAAAATGCTGGAAACTTTCAATGGCAATTTTTCAGAAAGCCTAGGATTACCATGCAACCTCATGATTCAAATGTACCATGCTGAAAACCAGTCCAGATGGGTTTCAAGGCAAAATTTAGACAGATAATGGCACACTTCATACTGTAAGTAGTGGCTCCAAAGAGACAAAAGTCTAAAGGCATGAAAACTTTTCCAGCTGGTGCTCCCAGTGTTACAAGACATTTGGAGGACAATAGCAATAAATATTTGAATGAACACAATGGCAACTTGTCAAGTATATGGAAAATAAAAATCACACATGGTCTTGAGTGTTACTGTAATGAACCCCTTCATAGAATCCCTGTACCTTGAGGAGAGGAAGTGAGTCACTGACATTGATGAGAGCAAGTGGGTGCCGGAGAAGCATTTCTGTACAACCAAAGATGGAGAGATGTTCCAGATCAGGGACCAGCCGCACAAGATGCAACAGAATTCTCCCTTCCAAACGGGTACAGGATATGTCAAGCGACCGAAGTTTCTTTGTCCCTGTCAAGAAGTACTCCAGACCAGCATCTGTGATGCGTCGGGACCCATTGAGATCCAACCAGATGAGATTGAAACATGATGAGCGTATTGCCTTCAGATGATGGTCCTGAATCTGAGATTCCACCAAAGCAAGATATTTTAGGGACCGATGAGCAGGTAGAGACTGGACTAATTGATCAGGAGGGAGCTTGGAACACATGATGAGCCTCAAGTCCCATAGCTGAGACATCTCCTTCATATTTTGGACTTCAACCAGGTCTTTGCAATCTACGATCACCAATTGATGCAGTGACGGAAGAGATGGAATGCTCTTGAGATGAGCAGGACGATATAAGGTCAAAGAGGAAAGGTTCCTGAATGCACTCAGGCATTGAAATGAAGAAGAGCGAAGAGTGTGTGCTCGAAATGTCAGGTGTTTCAAGCTTCCACTTCTGTAAGTTATCAGAGGCTCCAATAAGGAGTCAACCATGACATCAATCCGGACTCGGGTTAACTGAGGACAATCTCGAGCCAAAGCCAGAAAATGCTCTGGTTCCACCAAGATGTCAGACTTTTCAATGTGTAGGGACTTCAGGTGTGGCAACAGAGAGAGTCCTCGGAGAGAGATCAGATTCAAATGAGATGTGATTCTTAAATGAGTGATGGTGGGGAAGGAGGAGGCCAGTTCCTGGAAGGATTCTCCCCAGCAGAACCGGATGGACAAGGTCCTTAAGGCTTGAAGCTGAAGACGACGTAAGGCGAGCCGAAAAGTCAAGTCATCATCAGTGTACAAGTGATGGATCCTATGAGGGTGTGCCTGAGAGACCTTGAAGGCATGGTTCATAATTAAAGCTCGGATGTCTGGCTCCAGGCCACAGAGATCCAGGCTCTGCCACAGTAAAGGGTCTAGGACAAGGGATTGCCATCGTCGGCACACCAGTCGCACCCTCTTCACCAAGTCTATGTGTTGTAGGAATGTGAAGATGTGGAGCACCAATTCATCAGGGAGGTCCACAAATTGAATCTTCATCTGAATGCTACAGTCCTCCCCCTGTCCCTACTTCCTATTCATGTTGACTTCCTCAATTGATGACTATCTGGAGGGAGGAGGAAAGAAGTAAGCAAAAGACAATGTCACTTACAACATTGATTCACATATGATTGGAATTTGAAGCCACTGAGCTTTTACCAAGTGATTCACAATATAATGGTTGAATATAACTCTTCAGTAAGAGGAATTATTATATCCAATACTCATACCCTATATTATACTATTTCAAAAAGCAAAAAACTGACCACTCCCTGGAGCTCCTCTAGTGCAAATTAGTGTGTTCCAGTATACCAGTATTTTCTTAATACCACAGTATTTGGTTCTTGCGATAATATACCAACCCCTCCTACATTTTTTGGCATTATTACCACATTATGAAAACCAAAGGACACTGCCTCTTATACCACTGCGATGGTGCCATACCAAGAGTCTTTTCTAAAAGTAAAATACTTTATCAACTGTGCTTCACATCTCCATCCACAGTGATGCCCACTGCCTGCAGAAAACCAAAGCCTCCCTGGAAGTCACCTGAGTGCATTGACCCTTTGTGGTCCACTGGCAGACAGTCTGACAATCTCCATAGTGTTACAAATAAAATGGACCAGAAAGGGCTAAATTCAGACTAAAGTACCAAGATTTGTCATTTGTGGGTACACTTGTGCCTCAACTGTGCCCTCTGCTTGGTGAGCCTGAGCACTCAATACCAATGTGAAACATATGGCCATGCACAATGATAATATGGTGCTTCTTTTTTCCAAGATCCATAATTTGAGTCCTCCCAGCAGCTTTAATTATAGTATTATACAGAATCTGTCAAATTTGGTTGAAAAAAACAAATCCCCTTGTTTTCAATCAAATGGCATAATATGGATGTGCATCTAGCTTGACACCATCATAACAAAAAACTCACTCTCTTTGTGTATTTTTTTTTTAATGGGAGTTTGTAATTGAAGCACCCCTTCCCCAACTTCTCACTGGTACCATGGTACTGAGCTACGGTGTACCTACCATGAAATTTATTGTATACCACATAGTGCTAGTGCACATAGCCTTTTATTTTCCTGTTCACAGCTTGGATCCTGAGTGCTACTTCTTGACTACTCACTTTTTTAATAGTGTATTTTGGAAACACAAAACTGAAAACCCTGAATTCCAGGTCATGAAAAAGATACTCAACAAACTAATATTCGATCACACAAATAACTTGAGCAGGCATGCAAGTGAAATGTTTCTCCTCATTCAGTTTTCCATGTTCCAATCTTAAAAATTGCATCATATCTTTCAACATGCCTTGTATCAATAAAAATAAATTGCATGGTTCAATGTTAGACTAAATCTTCCATACAAAAAGAGCTTTTCATGAAGCTTCTGGAAAATGAGTAGTTCATATTTTCCAAATTTCAAAACTGCCAGTAGAGAAAACCATGATAGTAAACAGAGCTGGATGTCATCCTTCCCTACCCTGGCAGAGGCTCATAATGGAAGAAAATGCCAGCATCAAGCAATGAACATTCAGGTCTACCTCTGTTTGAGTGTCTCAGGTTACAAGTTTTGTCCTCAAAGAAGAATAAATTCTGACCACAGTGGCATGAGACATGCAGCCAAGTTTTTCTGAGTTTGGGCTCTCAGATCTGCCAAGGATCAAGATAACACACATGCCACTCTATGTACTGTACCTGAAAGAACTGCCTTATTGTGGCCTTAAGGATCATGGAGGGGCATCCCTGCCTCAGGGACTGCAATTGGACATGGTACCTTTGCCATGCAGGCACTCTCCACCTCTCTGTATATTGTAATTGTCATATGAGTTCATCATGCGTTCCATTTATAATTATTTCAAAAAAGGAAACTAAATCTGGATTTTAGGGACTTTCAAGACATTCAAGGCACTTTCTTCCATTGAAAAACCTTCAAGCCTTTGTTCTTAGACACCTTGCATTGAGGATGATCATAACATTAAAATTACATATAGAATGGACAAGTTTGCACAGCAAACCCTGAGCTCATCACTCACATGTCCATGGAAAAAAAGGAAACTCATAAGAATCAAAGAACACTGCCTGAGAGTACCAAAATCCTTTCAATGCATGAAAAAGACTAGGGTACATGGTGAATGTGACTGAGATCATTTAAATGAAGGACTGAGGCTGGAGAAATCCACTTTTTCACAGTAAATCAAACACAATACACCATGAAGGAGTAACAAAAATAATCAGTTCAAATTTTCCATGAATGAATGAGTGAGCCAAGGTGAGGGTGATCAGTCCTTCTTCTTACGAAGCTTTGCGACATTGGATGCACGCTTGGAGCGTCTCTGCTGCTCCTTGTCCCGTGCCTCAATTGCCTTCATCAGTTTGAAAGAAAGAAAGGCCGAGACCATGAAGAAGGGGGTGAGACACAGGAGAATATAGAAAAGAAAAGTGTAGGGGTTCCTGGCAGCAAAGATGAGGAGGTTCTGCAGCCATTTTTCCCATGTCAGGTCACCAAATATGTTCAGGTTCAAATTCGAATCGTCAGGAATATCTGAATATTGTCCTTTTGTGTCTGCCATCTTTCCTCAACAAAAGAGAAAAATAACCCAGACAATGATGCCCCCCTTTCTTCTTGTCAATGGTTATAGTTACTAAATGTTCTTCAACAATCAGCAGCACAGGAAAAAGTCACATGCCATGTGACAGAGCATTGCAGCATTTTCTGCAGCTTCCTGATAGAGAAGTCATATAACTCTTGGAAATTAAAAGAATTTGAAGTATGGAAACATAGGTTTATTCCTGAAAGTCAAATTCACATACCAAGTAATAGATTGGAGGATCCATTTACCCTTTACAAAGAGGACTTGTAAAGAGAGGTACAACCAGGATTTTGGCAAAGGGGAGCTAGAATATCCTAAGTTCTCCTTCAGGGGGGTAGCAGGATGGCAGATGCATTTTTGCCAGAGTAGGGGGGCTGAAGTCCCTCCCAAACCACCTCACTATACTGCTGTTTGTGTAAACCCAGAAAATTTTTATACAGGTATAAACTGTAGAAAAATTACTCATTAAGCAAGAGAGATGATATAATCTGTGAATTTCCACATGGGCTACTTATGACTCAATGGAAGCCCAATTGTATACCAAATGTCCATCATGATTGTGAAGTATCTGGGTCTGTAAATATGCTGTCAAAGAGAAATTCTTGCATGTTACAAGTACCATGAGGATACTTGTCAGAGGAGATTAAAACTGAATGTTACAGCTGCACAGGTACAGCAATTTACTTTTTGATTTATCAGATTTGAGACTGCCAAATTGGTGTACCTTTGAGGACCTCCAGCAGGCCTTGCTCCTATTGAAGTACAAAGACACTTGGTAAGACAGGATCATTTCATGACAGCTGGGAAAGATTAAACTAAATTCACCATCTCACCTGATTCTCATGACTTGGAGCTTCAGCAAGCTTCTTTAATTTCAGCACATGTAACCTGCCACATTCGTCCCCCAGTAAGAGAGTCTATAAAAAAAAAACACAGGGATTCTGTTACTGCTCATAAATACTGAGCACTTCTTAAAGGGAGAAGTAAATTTCAAACTTCCTATCCTCCTTTAGGAAGTCAGCATGCTCAGGATCAGATACAAGATGAATCCATGATAACATTAAGTGAAAGTCAGTGGCATATTTATGCTGAAAAGTCAGGGAGGGCAGAGTGGGGGTGCCAAACCCCATGCAAGTGATATCAGAGAACAAGATGGGCAGGCCCAGTCCAGTAGTGGGCCTCCTTTCATATAAGGATACCCACATTTTGTCACCTAATTGAACAAAATGCCATCTCTTTCTGGTCCCCAGCCATCAATAACATCATATTTCAGTTACATTTGAAAATCTACCAATGGGGGTGAAATGAAGATGGGAGGATGGAGGGTTGTGCATGCTAGGAACAGTCTGCCACAAAGGTTGGTAGGGAACTGACAGCTCTGGTTGCTGACATGGCACCATGTCCAAGGTCTGGGTCATATGCACATGCGTATGATGAGCCCTTCAGGATCCAGATCCTGAAGGGCTCATGGGTACTCATGCCTTCCCCTCTGTGAACAAATTAAAAATCCAAAATTTGCAATAAAATGCCAATTTTTGTGCAAATTCGCCACGAAATGAACTCTGCCCATATTTTGTTAATATCTATCTGTTTGCCAATTTTCACATTGGTCAGGCCAATATTTCTTAGTTATTGTTGGACAATCAAAGTGTGACACATGGACACACAGATGGACAGGATGAGACCACAAGTGGTCTCTTTCCTTTCAGGAAAGGAGGCCTACTAAAAATATTACCTCCAAGGAGATGCCAAGCTCTGTCCCAGGGATGCCAGGGGGGGGGGGTGGCCACCCCCTACCTTGGACCCCTCCCATAAAATACAGTACACCACTGGTGAAAGTCATTCCCATGTCATTCACTCCCAGAACTGCCAATGACAAGATGCATGCTGGAATTGACTGGAGCGAAATTGTGGGTTGGGTCGAAATTGAAACCAAGAAAACTGGCTCCATGATATTTGGCAATTGATTTAATCCCAGTGTAATGAGTCTAATTTGGGTGAATGATCATGATTCTGGATTTTCAGCTCATCATTGGTTGGAACCTAAGAAATCCCAATGTTTCCAGATGACAATTAGGAAGAAATGGGGATTTATGAAGTGTAGAAGGGAAGTGAGAAGCAGGACAGTATGCTAGTAAGTACATCTTGGTTCTTAAGAATGAAGCTGTACTGATGATGTGATTAATGGATTTTTGATTGGGGGGAGCAATCAATATGGAGCCATAGGGCTTATGAAACCACTCATGCACACATCTCTATTCGATGCAGAACCAGATATGAGCTATGCACATGAACCTGACTACTGACAACCCTCCCATTCAGTATCATGGGCCACTTCTCAAAGTTACTCCACTTTCTCCTGATATCTACTCAGATGAGAAGCAGAAAAAAGGCTATTCAGTTCAATTACCATATTTACTCATGTATAAGGTGCATTTTTAATGCTTATTTTATTGTGCATGGTGAGGGGGTGTGTGTTAAGACTTGGGGGAAAAAAATTTGCTTTAAAAATAAAAAAAAATTTTCAGCATACCTATAACTCATTGGTCACTTATTGAGATGGAAACAGTGTCTGTAGTTAGTCAGAAAAGGGGAAATATAATATAATAATAATAAAACAGTAAACAGGGAATGGCTATGTCAATTCACAGTCTTCATTTGGTATCAGAATCGGAATCTGAGATGTCAGGCAGCGTGGAAAATTCATTCACGGAGCTCTCATCCTCCGAGGGGCTGTTCCAGAGGCAACCATTTCCCAAGGAAATTTTTGAGCCAATGAGGTTTTCCAACAAAGAGAAAATCCAACTCACTTCATGAATCTCACCATTCATCCTCATGAAGCACCAAATTTTCAATGGGAGATCCCATTAGCTCTTGCAATTGTACAGGTTCGCATCTAGATCACCCTAGTTTTACACAGACCATCCTTTCAAGATGAAAAACCAGCAAACAGTGCCAGAAAGAAGCAAAATGTTTAACCCTTCAAGCCATTTTCACATACATTCATCACTTAGGAGGTCAGGTCAAAACTCAGCACTTGAAGGGTTAAATGGTGTGCTTCATGGAGGATTTCATTACAGAAGTAAGGACTTACTCTTTTATGGATTTGGCCACTTCCTTCTTGATTACCAGAAATGATGCCTTTTCCCCAGGAAAGGCCATGTGCCCAGCTCAATTTTGCCTTCACCTTGATTCGCTTCCAAATACAGCTTTTCTCGTTATACTTGTGACCTATTGCATGGATGCCTAACTCATTTGCTTCCTGAATCACTTTTATTTCTCTGCTGTTGTGTAACTTTGCCATACATTTCCATCCACTGTCAGGGATAATAAAACAAATGTTAGGAACACTGTGCCCCCTCTCAATAAAAGTCAGGACAGAGAATAAGAAACTAGGTTTGACCGACCTCCCGACTGGCTTTACCCCTTACTCGTTTCCCTTGTCTGACACTTTTCACTATGAAATATGGAGGTGCACCTTATACATGGGTAATCTTTTTTTTTATTACAGAATGTACTCGAGTAAATTTGTATTTACTCGAGTATAGTGTGCCACTGTGTATCAGACACACCTCCACTTTTGAGGTCCCAATTCTGTAAAAAAAAAATATAAAAAAAATATAAAAAAAAATATAAAAAATATAAAAAATTACCCATGTATAAGGTGCACCTCTGTATTTCATAGTGAAAAGTGTCAGACAAGGGAAACGAGTAAGGGGTAAAGCCAGTTGGGAGGTTGGTCAAACCTAGTTTCTTATTCACTGTCCTGACTTTTATTGAGAGGGGGCACAGTGTTCCTAACATTTGTTTTATTATCCCTGACAGTGGATGGAAATGTATGGCAAAGTTATACAAAAGCAAAGAAATAAAAGTGATTCAGGAAGCAAATGAGTTAGGCATCCATGCAATAGGTCACAAGTATAATGAGGAAAGCTCTATTTGATGAACATTGAAGAAGGCTATTTTTTCCCTTTCAAATCAGATGATGCATTTGTCTCAATTTCAGGGTCTCATACTGTGGTGATATCATCAGGAATTGAAGCATTCTAATTTAGCAAATATGCCAACAGCTTCAGGACTGAATAGCAATCATCACTGTATTAACCCTTTCAGACCTGAATTAAGGCCACTATCGGAATAATATCCTTTTTTGCATTATTAAGCTTTTCATGATTGTAATTGAAAATTTCATGCTTTATATGTAGTTTTCATATTTTGCATAAATTTATCATATCATACCATATATTATATATTATACAATTAATTAAATAACTGAAGATTACAAAACTAATGGGCGAAAGAAGGCCTCTGATGGAACTGAGCCATGCATAATTGCACCCATTGTAGTGTAATATAAAGCGTAGAGTCACAAGAATCCTAAGAAATTGCCATAGACACAATGTAAATGCAATGTCCATTGGAATGGATGCCAGGTCTGAATGGGTTAAAAAAAAAAAAAACACACATCTCTGGCACAAACTTGGGGTATCATGTCTGATAATAAATGAAGTGATAACATGCTGGTGATAAAATCTGACTAACATCAAGGATAGGAGAGAAATGAAGTGCAGTGAAGCCATGGAAGGAGCCATCAGGTTCCTCAGGAGCTGGAAGCAGAGCAACAGGATGGAGGGTGTCTTCAGATATATCCCAGATCTCCAAGGCATTCAAATACACGAGAGCCAACATGGTAGAATGGGTCTGACTCCAGCAGCACCCCTCTGCACCCTCCTGTCATTAGGGATGAAGTAAGGCCAAACAGAAGGTCAGACATAGCTGAATCACACTCTATGGGTTGAATTTAATTATTTGGTATTTTTTCAAAATTATATGTTACCTCAAAAGAGAAAACACTGTTCTCGCTCTGGATATCAATTGCCATGCCACAAATATTTAATTAATAACAGGCAAGAGAACTTAAGACAAACCTACTCACTGCCCAAATGCTGTAAAACGTCTGTCATTTTTTTCTCAACACAAGCTGGATAGTGGTTAATTGCCAGAGGGTACCAACAGATGAAAAAATGTCAAGAGATCAGACTCAGACGCACTGAGGTATTAAGTGTCAAAAGAGGTTGGGTGAAAGACGCATGCCAGAACTTGACAGTCCAGTCCCCACTGCAAGAAATGAACACATCTTTGGCATGTGGATTCCATTGGATTTCGTACACTGGTCCTGTGTGCCCCTTGTAAACATTAGCCACACTGTCTGTGTCACCTGAAACAGAAACATCACACTAATAAATACTTTTGCCTGCCTTTTTCACTCACATGAAGACAGAAAACAAATGACTGACTCAGACGATACATAAGAATTCCCCCATCTCCTGTCCCACAAAGAACTGTCTCACAAGCAGAATCAAATGCCATGCAAAAGCTCCTCAGATCTCCTGTGTCATCACCCATGTGTCGTAGTGATATCAACGCTGGCAAATGAAAGATTAGTGATAGGAAGAGCTCTCTTGGTCAATACAATATGAAGGTGGCAGAAGTAATGGATGCTCACGTTTGCCAACAAGAACATTGGATCCAAGCACATACTGAGAAATCATTCCTTCTTCTCCTACAGACACAAGAGTTTCATGATCGTTCCTTCGTTCTTCCACTGGACCAAAGGATAATACTTTTTTCCTAAGTTTGATCCACAGTACTTGCCACACCGGTCCACTGTGAACTCCATTCCCAACACTGCTTGGGATAAGAAAAGTTCATTCAAATAAAACTGATTGGTAAATATTGCTATTCCATACATCACAGAAAGGTTAAATGTTACAACCTGTGTGCCAGAGGACAAGAGTGAGGAGTGGACACATCAAAGACACAGACTGTGCCATCATAGCATCCAACGGCCAATAGATTTGAATGAATGGTGGCAAAGCTACAGCAGAGGGCACCAGAAGACATGTTGTAGCTCTTCTCAGGGCATGATGGATTCTTGATCGACCAGCATGCCACATAACCATTGTGCTGGTTCATGAAACCACGCTGGCAATAGGATGCTGCCACCAAGTGCTACATCACAGTAATACAGGTATGTTCTCAGCAGGGCTATTTCACTTCAGTATTTTAAGGCAAATTTCAAAACAACTTCATGTAGGTTGACAATAGCTATAAAATGTCTTGCATTCCAAAAGGTTAATACATGTTTCTTCCCCTTCTTTCCCGGCAATTACATTGCACCATTAACCAATGCTGCTTAGAATGTCTATAGATTCTTCCCATAGTTGACAGGCTGCATGGAAGTTAAAAATCAGCCTATGGCCTCTGAATCACCATAAAAACAAGGTGCCAAAAAGAAAAGTTAAACTCTTCCTCTGGGGTATATATGTCACACCTCACATGTAATAGATTGACAAAAGCACTTCACAATTCATTCACACTTCCACATTCGTAGTCATGAAAGAAGCTCCCACTGAGAATTTCTGATGCTAATAAAATGTTGAGTGCTATTCTGAAATTCAAAAGAAAGAGGTATGGAGAACTTTAAAGATAATTTTCAGAAGGAACATGCACACAAGGATTTAGAGATTTTGGAGAGACTGAGTAATGAAATAAGTCAATTGTGGAAGATGATGTCTGTCTAACCTTCTCAAAGTGAGCCACAAGCCTGCCATGTTTAAGAGTATCTGCAGTTACTTCACTGTCACTAATTGCAGAACTAGTATCCCACAGGCAAACAGAACTATTGCAAGCTCTACATGAGTAAAACTTGAGTAATGTACAGGTTTTATGGATAAGGTGTTGGAAAATAAGTTGCCTAATTTTTTTTTAGCAATAAGCAATTTTCTGATTTAAAAGACATTAAAACATGAATTGTCAAAATAAAAGTAAAAGTCACAAAAGGGACTGGTTCATTGGCTCAATCGACAGTCTCATCCCTAAGTCAGGCTGCTCTTCCATGTCCTATTCTGACAGCAGCAAAAAATGTGGACCATAAAGAATCTTTGTTAAACAGTTCAATACATTTTTGCCCAGCTAAGAACATGAACTAATAAAAGCTGAAGTGTGAAACATTCTGCTGCTATCCCCACAGGAGTTACAGTAAGTATTTATAAAGAAAAACATAAAAACATTAATTGATACAATGGCAAATGAGCATGCCAAAGTTCTTGTGAACAAACTGAAACACTGACAGGATTCTGGGGATTGATGGTAATCCCTCCAACATTTTCTCCCATGAACAAGGGGGAAGAGTAAGTCCAGAGGAGGTGAATGCTTGGTTGCTTTTCAGCAGGGACCCCAAGGATTCTCTTCTGCAGGGCTCTCTTCTTCTTCCGGTTCTTCAAAGTCCTATACCACTCCTCACTCAGGGAAGGGACTTTATCTATTGGCATTAGGTCACAGTAACAGCTATACTGGGGTGAAAACTCATTGAGGTGGATGAAGCGCTGCATTATCAAAAGGGATGACAGGAGATCAGGACTTTCCCCTCTGTTATCACCTCTCTGATTTCGTTCTGGAACAACAAAAAAAGGCTGATTTTTCTTGATGTTTGAAATTGTAATATTAAAGGGAGAGCCTCATATTACAGCATGTACAGCTAAGAATAATGATCTCATTGAGAAAGCATAGGAACTGTGCACTGCCAAGAAATATCAGCTTCTGTTAACAAGAAAGATGTCAAATAATCCCAGGTCTCACAATATCCTTTCCTGCCTTCAAGTTCAACAAGAAATATGTTGACATGGAAGAGCATCATTAAGCAAATGTGACAGGAAAGATTTGGCAGTATGTCATATCTTGTCATTTCATGACATCACCCTAACTTAACAATCAGAATGACAACTAAATAATGTGCAAACCTCAGTTTCACTCAGCTCCACTCAACAAGTCTTTAGTGTAGGCAATAATTGCCAGAACTTGAGAAGAAAAAAAATTGTGGCTCCTCAACAATATATATATCTTTCAAGTTTCTTATAATGTGGTAGATAATAGACATGAAAAGCTAAAAATGCAGCAAACTCAAAAAGAGTAATTGACACAAAACATGAAATTTAAATTTTGTAAACATTTTGATAATGTATATTCATGGGAGATGTTTACAAATCTTCATTCACTGGAGCATTCAAATTTTCTCACCTTCGAAATGTACATCCATTTTCTCTGATGGTGTGGGACTATGTAGATGATCATACATGTCCCAAGAAGTGGCCTGGCAACTCTGGGACTGAAGAAAATACCAAAATCATGCAATTTCTAAATAGGCAGGCTTACATAGATTAGCCAAAACAAAGAATGAGAATCTAATATTATTATCACAGGTGATGATTGCAACAACAAACCAATCGCCTTATGGAATGGGTCTGAGTTGATTTAGTTTTGGATGGTGGATAGAGAGTCTGTGTTTCATGCTCCATGTAACGATCACTTCCCTCTTTGAAGGCACAGAGCTGAAAGAAAAAATATGATCAATAGAATGAAAACTAGTGAATGATTAAAATATATACTTAACTTGATTTCCAAAGCATCCTCTCCAAGAGACTTGTACGTTGTTTTACCTTGGTACTACCCTGCATTGTGTTTACAATTTTCATCTGCCATTCATGGGATTTTCAACAAAGGGAACAATGAACACTCAGTTTTCCTGATCAGATATGGGGAGACAGTTCATACAACTACTAAAAGTTCATACCTATCTATTAGGTCCATAAATCCAAATAGTCAAGGAGTGGGTGCTTGGCTTCATCTTGCAAAGAAAGCAGGCACTCACCAGTAAACTCAAAACAGAAGTAGCTCATTCTCCGTCCCTGAGACCCTATGAGGTGCATAAACCACCAACTGAAAAGAGTGCAAATCCTAGAGAACAAAGCTCAAAAAACTGAAAAAAAAGTAACAAATAAAAGAATGCATAAACCCAATAAATATTTTTTTTAGGAGCATGACAAGGATTCAGTGCTGATAAATGGAAAGAAGTTAAACTCAAGATTGAGGTGAATCATACCTTCTTATATGCCTCATTCCTCTTTTCCACAGATGCTGCTTCAGCAGTGCCAGCTTGGACAATAATTCCTACTATCTCCAAGTGCCAGAAAGTTTCTGTTTCCTACAAGGAAAATGGCATAATGTATTTAATGCATAATTTATGATGCATAACAAAGTTTCAATTAAAAAGACTAACCTGCATGTACAGGACTACTCGGGCTAGAAGAGATGACTTTGAAGAATCATGGTCAGATAGGGATGTATGTTCTGCAACAGAAGAGAATTGACCAAAATAATATGATTGACTTTCTATTTACCTTGGTTTTGCAGAGTGATTCCATAGTTTTCACAGAGGACTTCACCTCTGGAGGTTGGAGATCAACTCTCAATAAGATTTTTCTTCTTGATCTTCCTGATTGATCGTGTTTTTGTAGTAGCTTTGTCTTTGCAGATTGAAACTCAATAAAAAATGACAAAGTAGAAATGAAAGAAGCCAGAAGCAAGGAAGCACTCACGTGCAGAGTCTATTGAAATGACAGAATGCATGGAGAGACGAGAGGAGGAACGTGAGGGCTTCAGTTCTCCAAGCAGGGAAGTTGGTGGGAAGAAATGAACCAGGTCTTTCTCCCAATCCAAATAGGAATTGTCCTCAGTCCCTGTCACATCCACCAGTGGGAGTGGTGTCACATCATTCCCAAACTCATCCACTACAGTCTCTTCACTGAGTCTGGACATGTCTTGAAACTGGCTCTTGGTAATTTTAAACTTGGACATTGTGAGATCTTGCTATCTATCACATAAACGAGACTCATTGATATATCTTTCTGATTTCTCTAAAAATATGTTGTGTGGATATCGTCCTTCAAATTGGCAGTTATGAAACATGGTTCATCTTGACTGCTTCTCAGCAGAACTTCATGCATATAGTGTACATGAAATCCAGATATTATACTTATTTATGGACATCAAGAAAAACAAATAATTTCATGTCAAGAATATATTTTGAAAGATGCATGGCTTGAATCCAGATATCCCATTTATGACTACACTTTGGTGCATTCAACTACTTATCTGATGAAGACTTTGAGGATTTCCACTTGGAGTAAAACTCATCAATTGGTTCAAGAGCAATCCCAGCTGAATTGGCAATGCCTTTAGGGCTGAAGTTCTTGAAGCTGTCCTTGATATTGACACCAGTGAGAAGTGTTACAAGAGACAGTTTCCCACTAGGAGAATCAGTCCCTTTTCGACATGTGCTGAGATAATGGCAGCACTCCAAGATTTGACAGTATTGCCAGGCTCGACTATCCTTCTTCTTTGGGTACTTGAGAAAGGGGAGTGGCAGCACTTCTGTTGAGCGTTGGGCACGTATAAACCTCGATGAAGACTTGAACTGTGCCTCGAGCCACCTTATCCCTTCCCTTGCCCAAAGAGCATTGCGTTTCTGTGAATCCAATTCTGCAATCACAACCTTGGGGATGATCAGAAGAAATTGGCGAGATTGGAGGAGCTCTCTAAGTAGCTGGATGTGATGCATGAAGACCTCTGCATCAGTGACAAGGAATGGAGGAAGGGTGTGACCAGTTGCTCCCCCTGAATGTCTTGGACTTCCTTTTTCATTTTCTAGAGCATTTACTTCACTTTGAAGCCAAAGCTGGGTCATATGACTAGCTTTTTGGGTCCAGAGAAGATCAGCAGCAACACTGTCTGGCGACTGCACATGTACCATTCGAAGTTTCTCTGTTGACAACACAAACCGCCTTCCTTTCTGTATGACACCTGTGCTTGGAATGCTGGAAAGAAATTTACACAGCTTGTGCTGATATGCTGCTCGAGCAAATGTCTGCTTGTGGGAATAACAGTTGGCCTCATTCACCTGTTCCAAAGATGGTGGCCAAGGTGGTGTGTCTCTGGTTGCATGTTCTAGTGGTACAAAACCATAAAGCACAATGTCTTCCCAGAGCAACTCAGTCTCACTTGTATCTTCCTTCACCTGCACACACAAGCTATTAAAACACTTTGTGGCATGAAGCCACAGAGTACTAGAACTCTGGGAACAAGTCCGGATGATTTTTTCTGATGATGGGAGAAGCAACCAATCAGCTGCCACTTTAGCAGAAGGTAGCAGATGCTGAATGGCAACCAATCGCTGCATGACTTCTTCATCTGATAGATGATCATTCTCATCACCAGAGTCAGAGAGCTCTTCTTGATCAGAGACCATGAGTTCAGAGTCTGACTCGGATGATTCTGAATTGGCCGCATCAGCTGTTCCTTCCTCATCACCACTGGATGCATCAGACCCCCGTCGCCTTCTCATTGATCTGAGACTGATCCCTTTGATGGGTCCAGCCAAGTCTTCCTTATCAACCTTGTTGATTAGATGTTTCTTCAGAACAGTGTGGATCTCACTGAAGAGATGAGAAATGATGGCCAGGAGGAAGGCAACTGCAAGGGACCATTCATTAGTGCCTGCCTTCAAAAAGTGAACACAACCAATGGCAACTGCCACAGTGTGCAAAGCAGTGTCACGAGTCATCTGACTTTTGGGAAGCAATGCAGCCCACTGAGAAAGAACAGATTCACAAGTGGATGACATTGATGACCCTTCAACTTTTTCTTGTAACCAGAAATAACTCACTAGTGTTATTAAAGATGTCACAAACAAGGATAGTTCATCTGGTTTGTCAGAGGAAACCTTGGAAGGGACTTTCTTTAGAATACGCTTGAGGTTGTTGTCTGCAAGATCCCAAGGTTCAGAGCTGTGGAGGCAGAGGACATAATGAAAAAGGGCTTTAAGGTATTGTCCTTTGCTCTCAGCCACTGACCCAAGCTGATTGTGAGGGCTGCCCAGCTTTGGGAAGGCAAGCAATGCTTGATGATAGTACTTCTCAGGTGAGACTTTATAGCCCTGAAGGCACTCCAACTCCATGAGATACCTCACCAGATCACCCATGCACATGAGACAGTGATGAACAATTCTAAGTATCATCTCTCTATTTTTTGTATTGTCCTTGTCCTGTTTAGTATCTTCTGAACGTTCCACAAGCTCACAGGCCTCAAGCATAGGGAAATCCATGATGACTTCCAGGATGTCATTTGGTGCAGCTTCATGATCATGCTGGAGCTGGGAGATGATTTGCTGATAGAGGCCGATGCCAGCCCTCAAATGGTTTTCCAGGAGTACCTTATCCAGAAATGACAAAGGTGATGTTTTCCTCATGGTTTTGGCAGCATGATAGATATCCAAATGCACCCGCTTCCAAAGGAGATCCAGCATCTTCTGTCCTGAGGTGAGACTGCTTCCCTGAAGGAGGGAGAGGGTGCTGGAGACTAGTCGTTCTCGGAGGACAAGACCACCAGGGGACAACATCTCTGACACTGTATTTGCTCTCTTGTAGAGATCTTGAAGTCCCAATGCTGCATCACCCCCACTCTTCAGTGCCTTTTGAATCCCGTCACTCATCTCCACTTTGTTAGAAAGGGACTGATATTCCCTTTTATTTCATGCCTTTTTCAACGATATAACAATAACAAATACAGACCTCTTGTTTCTTTGAATTATAAGATCTAAATCATAGGATTTTTGTTATATGTGGTTAAGACTGTTTTTGATGCCATAGTTATAGGACTAGAACATACAACAACACTAAAAATGAGCAGTGACTGAAAACTTTAGGTCATCAAGTATGAGACTCTGAGGGAGAACAATTATCACCTCCTTGAACAGAAAATTATATTATGATGAAGCTGAGACTATCACAGGCTCAGTGAGCACTTTCTAGAGATTTTCTGGAAGAAAGTTTGTGATAGTGTCCTCCCTAAGATGTTTGTTACAGTTTTGATTAATGACAATCTTAATGAAATGATCCTAGCTGAAATTCTTTGGCCTCTGTTAACCATCACATGCTTAAATCATTGTCACTGTCCCAAAGAAAGTTTCTCCCATATCGAAGAACCCCTTGAAGAAGAGAACAATTTGCAATAGGTAACATAAACCTTCTTTTAGGCAACCACAAGAAGGATAAAGGGAATGTCAGCTGTACAGCATAATTGATATTGGCCAGGCTGCTATCCTATAGCATGCACGACATTGTGTCGCACATCTGGCTGCATACTCCTAACCTTCAGGTCTCATGTCATCTTGACAGTAACCAAAGAGAAGGTCATATACTTTAAATGTGCCAACCTGCCAATAATGCAAACCTGGCATGTGCAAGAAAACTCTGATATGGCAATAGCTTCCCTTTTTCCAAGGTTTTCAAAGGATGAAGCAGAAGTTTGTTTCAAATTGAACACAATTCCTCCAGTATTTGAACCTTGTGGAAACATTGTTTCAGAGAGATGACTTGATACACACAGTGATACAACAATAGAAGAACTTTCACTCAGACCTCACTACACATTCAGCACTAAGTCCAAAATGCAATATACATAATTCACGTCTGATCAATTAACCTGAAGTTTTGATGCTGAGGCTTGGGGATGACATGGATGTAGGGGAAATAGAAGTTTGCATCATTCCCCTTCAGATGTGGGAAATGGTGCTGCACCAAGACTTTATTCCAATCTAGGTTGGTCTTCTCAAGAGTGACCACAACCTGTCCAGCCTCCAAAGAGCGCAAGGTCCGGTTCTTTGTCAGTTGAACCTGTTGACATATCATGTAATGGATCAGCACTAGGGGAAAGATGGCTGCAGGTTATTGTTTGATGCAAAAATTAAGGAATATATACTAACATTGAGACCAGGCAGCATGCGAAGATGATAAAAGCGGGCCAAGTTGACTGCATAAGGAGCTACACTCTCTTCAGGATACCAGATCCCTCTGTTCCCTTTCTTGTGAACCTTTATCCTCTTAGTAACATTTTTGTTTATCAACTTGAGGTGTCTTGTCACAGTTGCCATGCTCAACAACAATTCAATTCAATATTCTTAGCTGTCAAGTCTGAGCATCACATCTGCTTAGACATATTCCAGCTCATCACATGAGATATCCAGGAGCAGAGCCATCAGAAAAGAATGAGGCTAAGCTTAGCACTCTAGTCGAGAATTAAGTTCCAGAAATGATTCCAAAACTTCATGAATTTGAAAATTGATGCTGAAACAGATGCTCATAATCAAAGACTCTATGATTAAATTTCTTTCCATAACACAGTTTTAATGATGCACTCTCAGAATTCATCAAGAGCTTTCATGCAAATACAGCTCTTCAAAGAATTGTTTTATCTTCTTCCTGTATGAATTAACCTATACTCATTCAAACTCAATCATACCTCTTAAATAAATTCGATGTAACCTCTTGATATCATACAATGGTTTCAAGATTTTAAGTAGGCCTAACCTGATCATGTGAGAGCAAAATTCATTTCAGAGATCAGGGACTGACCAAAAGCAATGATCTTGGCCAGCCTGAGCAACATGCTCAGCTTCCCTAGAATGTCTGCTTTGTAATATTTTTTATCTTTTATGGGGAAAACATGAAAGAAAACAGCAGCACTGACACAGGCAAATAAGAAAAAGTTTCGAATGCACAAGACCAGCTGAAAATCAGCTTCTTGGAATGGATCATTACTTTTATATTTTAGCAAAGTAAAGTCAAGGTTTGAGGCAGATTTCTGAGAATGGAATACATAAAGCTCATAACAATGCTCACATTTTGTCTGCTGTTGAAGAACCTCAATCATCAAGACACCACAAGAAAACTCTAAATAAAATAAGCAATAATTTTTAGGTTATTTATTTTAAAATCAGGAAAGGATGAAAGACATGAGGGTTCAAGGAGTAGTCTAATCTATCTTCATCTCATAAAATTACAAAGGTGTCATTCAAGAGGCACAAAAACATTCTATTCGGAAGTCAATTTTCAGGCATAAGAGGAACCCAAGATTCATGCCATGTATTGTATCAAGTGGAAGTAAATTGTGCAGAGGCAATGTTGACAAATAAGATATATGGAAGGGAAAATCTACTAAACCAATAAGTCCTTAAAACAATTGACAAATCCAAGTGAAAAGCAGATATAAATATAGGACAACCATTCTATCAGTTGACTCTTGATCTGTATGGGGAATGGAAATACACAGTCCAACCAAGATACTAACATAGAGCTGATTCTGCTTTAGCAACACTTCCTTCAATGCATCTCTCATTCCAATTCACATTTTGGGTAGCATCCAACTGTGACAAACAGGGTGAATGAGATTTCCTTGACAAAAAATCTTAAAAAGTTGACAAAGTGTCTCAACCAGGACAAACTTTCCCAGAATTCCAAATCCAATATTTTTCATTTTACATAATGAATGAGCAATCCCCATGGAACTTTTATGGATGGGAGTTCCATACAGTTAACCATTAAAAAACATACCCTTAAAAAAGGTTTATTTACAGTCATTTTCATTTCAAAGCTTAAAAAAGCATGACATTTTGAAAATGAACCCAATAGCACCTTGGAGCCACCTGATTTCATTTTCATTCTCCATGCAATTTTAGGGTCAATAAGAGAAATGGTCAACATGGACAGATCACAGCTTTTTACCACTGCCAACACCAATCGGAGTCTGTGATGACAACAAACAAAGACTATAACTAAGTATGGACCAGGTAGAGGACAGGCTGGTACAAGGCTATCCATATCAAAAGGAAGATGAGATAAAGAATCAGCTAGCACAGGAGTCTCACTTTCCATCCAGGCCAACTTCAAACTCTCCTTTTTTTCTCAGTTGAAACCTGGAAGCAGCAATATCATGACTCACAGAGCTACATATGACATCTCTTATAATCTAATAAGCAAAAGTTGTACCTGAACTTATTGACATGCAGAAAGTTGGCAACCTCAGGTTGAAGCCTGCCCTGGTTCTCATAGCTGTGCTTTCCCCAGCCAGTGATGATGCGAACAATACGCATTGACTCTCCACAGGCCTTCATCTCCACTTGATGAATTCTAAGCCAGTCATGAAGCACTACCAGTGCTTCATCTACATGAAGAAAGTGAAGATCCAGGGTGTTCCGGTCATTCCCTTGATTCACCAACTCCAAAATGAGCTGGGAAGACCTATTCTTTGCAGCATGCATTTGTTCACTGTAACGTTGCCCCTAAAAAGACCAATCGCGATTCACCTTTTTAGAAGGGCTACAGGGATTTATAGGACTATTATTCCATGAGAGGCATCAATGAACCCACCATTTGTGAATAATAAGAGGCCACACTCCCCATATTCTTCTGATGTGCCTCTTGTGCCTTTCGATAGCATTCATTCCTCTTCTCCTTGAAGATCTGCCATTCAGCACGCAAGTCTGATGGACATGGACTAGTAAGCACTTCTTGGGGACTCCTTTCCTGCATAGTAGAATGACCCTAGAGTCACACCAAAACCACATTAGACTTAGTTTCATCACCTTTTGCATGACCAGATGAGACAGGACTCACTGCTCTATTCTGTGTCATTTGCGCTTCTTTTCTCTTCTTCTCCATTTCTTCCAATGCACCATGAGAATATACAGTGATGGGTTTCCCAGTGTTTGGCAAGGAGCACTCAATAATATGCAGAGCTTTGTCCAGATTGCAGCCACAGGCATTGAAGACCTGAACCAGAGTCTTAGGTTCAGCACCAGGATATTTCTCAATGAGTTTCTTCACCCCTGGATCTCCTTCAACAGCAAGCAGCTGCAAGAAAAAGTCAATCCATAATAGCTTACAACAGTTCTTCAGGTATAAGGAACCTTGCTGTCAACAGTTCAGAAATGGGAAGGGACAGTTGGCAGAAATAAAGGACACAATGAAGAGCCATAGAAATTCCACATCAGGAAATGGTGAGGTCATCCCTTTCAGTCATTGCTTCTTCAGTTGAGACAATAAGGAGCAAATACCAAGACAAGGTAATTGAAGGTAATTTCAACATGTTAGAGAGTCTGATCAATTTAGGCTAATTTCGTTTCCCATGCATCAACTTGATACATGTGTCCCAATTAGTCTACATTGAACAATTGAATTGAATAGCCTATATCAAACAATCAAAAAACTTTTTGAAATTGCCTCCAGAGATTTTATCCTGATATTGTCTTGCAGTTAGACTTTCAACAAAGGTCCTACAGTGAAGTGGCTGGAAGGGAAAAGAGAAATGGTGCCTTCAATGGTGCTACCCTCTTCCCCATTCCTCAGGCATCTGGCAAGTTTTCTCTGCATTGCCTCATCTCCTTGAAACTTGCATTAAATTTTCCATTGGATACCCCAAAAAAAAGTCCCTTCGTGCATCTGCAGATGGGACACCATGCTAAGCATCATCTTGAAATTTTCAGTGTGTCATACCCAATATATGTAGGTGGTTTCAGAAAATTTTCAATGAAATTCCCTGCTCTTAACGTGAGTAAGAGCTCTTTCCATACAAGTCATCAAATGAGTAAGTGTGTTAGTGTATTTGCCAGCAAGCTGCATAGGCAGGTGATCATTGGAGGACACATCTAAACGTTTTTTCATTGAGGTCAGGTGTGTTTCTTTGCACACTCACTCTTTTAACATTGTGCAGGAGGGAAATTGTTACTCAGGTAGTTTACTTCCAATTTCAATTAAATTTTTTTTATATTACCTGCAAACAGGGCATGTAAAAGCCTGTAAATTTAATGCCAATAACTCATATGGTACACCATCTGCAGGCGTGTAAAATTTGGGACTTTTTTTTTGGCCCACCCAGTACAAGGTGATCAAAAATTCACTGTGCAGTAGAATTTATGCCATGACATAAGAGGCCTCGTTGTAGACAGGAAGTACAAACAATAATGTGCATCAGGGATGGTGTTAATGCATGATGAAGTATTGAGTGGGAATTTGTCTCTGATGATGTAAAATGTGTGATACACAGAATAGTATTAAATAAATTCCACAAAATGAAGTGAATTCTACTGCACAGTGACTTTTCGATCACCCTGTAAAAAATATTTTAAGGAGTTTTCAAGCAACATTTCATAATTTAATCCTTCTAGGTAACTATATCAGGTGACTAGAATGAATGATAGCCCTTATTCAGATTGGAGTGTTTGGCAAGTATTCTTTATAAATATTCATCCTACACCTTCGTAACTCTAATCAATTCCATGATACACAAGTGTGAGTATGTGTACTAAATGTCATCAAGATTGTTCAAATCCTTCATGATCATGCTTTTTACTTAGTGATGAGTATCTTCCATGCCTGTCAGACTGAAAAGTCTTGCTGAAAATTAGGAAGTGAAACCTTTCTTGCCAAAATGAAGTGGCTGTCAGATTCTTTTTGGCCACATAGAAGAGAGAAAGGGTAAGGATAAGCACTTTATCATTTACACACATATATATATATATATATATAAATAAAATTCATCAACCTACCTCCTGTGAAGGGGGAACCTCTTCTCTCTCCAGCTCTTGAAGACATCTTGCCAAGAGTTCATCTGAAAGAAGGAAATGAGACTTAGAAATAAATTTTTCTGATTCATCAGCTAAAAAATAAGGATGCACTAGATGTGAAGACAGAGTACAAGCATTCAGATCACAAGATACCCATTCCCATTGGATCTCTAAACATAACCCTTACCTACTTCCCAAAATCCAATGCACCCATACAAAAATTTTTTGTGGAAGAAAGAATAAGAGATGAAGAAAGATGGTCTATATATTAGACCTGTACATAACTGGTAGCAAAGAGAACTGAGCATGGACTCTCCATTAATCCGAACTTACTTTGTAGACATTCATTTTTAGTTGTCTGCTCTGATTACATCTTTGGTAATAAAATGGTATTTGCTCTCTAATGGACTAACACCTATCCTATTCAAACACCCTTCCTTCAATTACTTATTCTCCTTAATGATCCACATCTGCTTTTTTTTTTCCTTACAGACCTAAAACGTATCTCTCATATATTGTGTACACAGACATAAAAAGATGCTCTTGACCATTGACCACTCACTCTCAGAATCACCTCAACACTATTCTTTATTAACCAAAATAAATAAATAAACCTTTCAGCTTAGGAAAATGAGACTTCTTGTAATGAAGCAGGTCTCATCTATACTTAATCATATAAAATGAACCATCATGCCTTTTGTTCAAAGGTTAATCATACTATGACCAGATAATCATCTAATTTAAATAT